ACGCCTCAGTTGTTGTCCGTCCAGAACTGGGACTTGAGGTAATCCACGATCTTCTTGTCGATCTGGAATGCCTTCTCAAGCACGTCGTCGTTGATGGCAGGATTGGACCCGAAGACGGCGTTGGCGATGGTGACCACGCCGGGATTCTGGCTGCTCAGGCCAGCGATGGCTACCGCATTCTCGTGGCCTATGTTGAGCTGGAAGTGGATGAGGCCCTGGGGGAAGACGAAGACGTCGCCCTTGTTGAGAATCTTGGTGAAGAGCTTGGGCGGGTTGGAGGTGACGAATCCGACGTGGAGCTGGCCCTGCAAGAGTGTGAGCACCTCCGTGGCCCTCGGGTGGGTGTGGGGAGGGTTGAGACCATGGCGGGCAAAGTCTATGCGGACGAGCGAGATGCCGAGGGTGTTAAGCCCGGGGAGGTTGTTGACGTTGACGGGGGTGACCTTGGATCCCAGAGCGTTGTTCGTGTCGCCGGGCTTGTCAAGGCCAGCGAAGAAGAAGTCGTTGGCGTTGACAATGGCCGGGTCCTTGCAGACGACACCATTTACGAACACTGCAACAAAACCAGATTATGAGAAAGAACACAATCCCGAGAAAGCTGCACGTCGATCTTGAGGTTCACATGGCACATACCCTTGGCGGCGTTGTCTGCAACACAGAAGTCCTGCAGTTGGTTCGGGTCAGAGGCGAAGGCTTGGGTGGACGCGAGGACGAGCACGACGAAGGCGAAAACGTAGGAGGCCATCGTTGGATCCCTCGCTGTTTCGAGAGTCGAATTTCTCCGCAGGTTGTGACAAGTTGGTGAAACAAAACCTTTGGCGGGGTTATTTATAGACGGTTTGGAGGATTGAAGCGCTTACTTGTGGGTCTGGAGATATGGAACTGGACTTCGTCCGATATCTCGGAGTGCTGCGGTATGAAGACCGTCTGACCCAGTCATTTCTGGAGTATGGAATGCGGGTCTGACGATTTCAAGAAGTTGACTTCGTTTCTTTTCACTAATTTTTGGAGTACGAAAGGATTTCTGAGTGAGTCGTCTGTGGATGCGTGCAAAAACTTCCAAAAGACCAGGAAAGGTCGTGGCCCGGCTCAAGCCCCCGAATTGACACGTTCCAACTCTGCTCTCTATCCTTCTGTTTCCCACCGCACCCTTATCCCACCGTCACAGTCCGTGTCCGACGGAGACGGACTTAAAAGAGAATGTCATTATCCTTCGGACTTTTCCCAGGGCTCATGTCTGAGACCAGTAGCACGCGGAGGACGTTTTCTCCTCCAATTTTTTTGTGCTTTTGATTGTGACTCAAATCACGTAGAATCCGTTATCTAAATCTAGTTTCCTATTAGCATAATCATCCAACCTTAAAGAAAACATTGGCAGCTCTATTTCCAAGGGTAATTCAGATTTAACGAGCAATAATTACGAGCGTATTCCTCGAAAATTGTTCTACCCGAAAATTCATATCGTTTACGTCGCAGACGGACAAGGCTTCTTTTTGACTCTCTGATGGTCTCTATTTCTCCACGATCCAGGCTACTTTCTACCGTTGCAGGGTCTATATTTGGGGAAACGGGAATCATTAATGCTTTCTGAACGTAGCAGAGAACTCGGTCTTGGTCTTGTGCCATACAACGAAGACTTGGCCTTCTCGGAGACCACATGACAGAAAGCAACGGCTAGTTCCGAAAGCTTGCCAAAGCTATGGACCAGGTACGTTTTAGCGACCAAAACAATGGTGATATTGCCGATAAAACCCTCCCCGAATCGTAGTTTTCCATCCCTAACGTCGGTGTGATGGAGGTTCTAATTATTCTCTTGGTTACTGCATATTTGAATAATTTGGACCATTATTACCTCCAGAACATTCTTTTGGTCAAAGTGGGTTGACTATATAGTCGTGCGTTTATTTCTCTGACACGGCAGCTGCTTCATATTTCTCGCTCCCCACGGGCGAATGCAAAAAGTACTGCACTTGGGACTTTCTGATATCATCGCTTACGTTCCTTATGAACTAGCCCACTCTTCCGGCCCTCCCTTAAAATCTCTATTATTGTCTGCGATGGTGGGGAAAAATTTCTAAGAGGCAGAAATAACACAGTCGCAATTTTAGTCTATGCTTTATCACTCACAGACACCTCAAACACTATAACCATAAAAAATTAATCACATTGTAATACGGTGCTGTTCGATAGGAAGCGGTGCAAAGTAAAGAAATCTGTCGACTGTAGCTCATCTCTCCGCGCGAGACGGACGTGGGAATCGGCCCACTTCCGCGTACTGTTCGCACGGAAATGGGCCATCCGAGATGGTCTTTTGTGGGCCACAACCAATAGGGCCCTTTCTCCTTGTAAAAAACCATAAGAGTAGTGGAAACGAAAGAGAGACACAAAAGAGGAGCACTGGAGAAGGCGGCACGACGGCGCCGGCAGTCCAGTGGGTATGGAGATGCTGCCTGCCGAGTTGGCAGAGGAAGAGAGCCGCCGCCACCACCGTCTGCCTTGTTTGCAGAGTAAGGACGCCACTACCTGCGTTGATGGCTTAGCAGGAGAGACATCACCGCCTATTTTTCTGGCTGAGGAAGGACGCCGCAGCCTGTCTGTTGGCGGACGTGGACAGCCGCCGCCTGTTCCCCCGATCTATGGGGGTGTGAGTTTCATGTAAACTCTTACATATCAAGTGAAGTCTACCGTTGTGATTTCCCGTGGATGTATGAGGGTAATCTCCAAAGCGTAAATATCTTTGTCCTTGTGTTGTTATGGGTTGATCCTCCTTCCCTCTCCTAATTTCCGGTTTTGCGGATCAAGTTGGCCTCACTTCGTTAGTCGGAGTGATCATAAGAGATCCCAACAAAATCTGTAACTAGATCCGGGCATCGCCATGCCTGATGTGGTTTGGAAGGTTGTGCAGGGAACCACTGCCGAACAAATTATAGAGGTAATGCCGAATTTGAAATATCGTGAGAACCTGCTTACTAGAAATCTCTGGAGAACCGTGCTAATGTGTCCCAAAAGCAAGGGGCTATCGACGACATTTGCCTGGTGGGGCTTGTGATTTTGATGGTATTTTAGGATGTACCCATCATGGAACACTTCGATGTGGGTTTCTGCAATTGTTACCGTATTTGGAAAAATCTTCCAAACCAGCACATTAGACTTAGCGAGGGGAATCTTTAAAGTAGGTATTCAATGGAGTTATTAAAGGTTCCCTTTGTAGAGATACGCTGAGTAGATGATTTTAACGTAACACACTTGAAGGGATCATGAAAACAGTATTAAATATCCATTCAACACTTTTCTAGAACCAATGTTCGACCAAAAATAATGACATACAAATGACCCTTCTCCTTGCGTTGTTATAATTTACTGCTGTACAAAATGTTGGATGCCCAGAACCAAAGCATTTAAAACATTTTGATAACATTATTCCGTAAAAATTGCATTTTCTTTAATGGAGAAAAAGAACTTTATTTTGTAAGAAATTATAAGTGGATATGAGATTGGGTACTCCCCTAGTTGGAGGTTTGCTCCTGGCTTAAATTCCAAGCTGTGGAACTCGTTGGCCTTTTGCCTCATCATAACTGAAGTTCCCATTGCTTCGTTGTTAGCTTTTGTACATCGTTCAGGATCATATGCGATTGCTCTTCAACAATGAATTAATCTCCTTGTGAAAGCTCACCAAATATCAACTGATATTCTACTCCTTATGTTAGGCAATCCAATATTCCATTAAATTTTTCAACTCTTTAGTGCATTCAATATTTAAAGTACCTTGTTACAACGAGACATTAAAATAAAATGGTCTTGAAGATAACTTTTATAAAGATATTTTTTACAGAGTTCTTTCTTCATTTTTTCCATGTGATAATTTTGGATTTGCTGCATTTCTCGCTGTAGGTTGGTATGCTCTTCCCATACTACATTGTTGGGATCCATTGCATCTTGATATTTAAATATTTTCTCCACAATGTGAAGTCAGTCTAGGAAAACCTCAGGCTAAATTTGCTCCTCCAACATGGGTACATGTAGTTTGAAATCGATACAACCAATTCAGTAATTATTATAGGAGACCGCTTTATCAAATCCGGAAAGGTCCAATTTTAATCTCGCATACTTAGAACCTAAAGACTCAAAATGAGCACGTCTCTTGGTTATCCAATCGATTGCCTATTGTATCTCCTCGAATTACATGTCATCAGGAATTTTGACTCCGATGAAGTCGGAATTTCAACATATGTGTTCTTGAGCACGCACTTGAGGTCTGAAGCGTGCGTCATCACGCGAATCCTAGAGACCTTCGTACAGACTCTGAGCTTTCAACGCTACAATTCCTTTGTTCACATCCCAATTAACGAACTCTATAAAAGGAGACGGGAGAACACAAGAGAAACTCTTGCAAAATAGATAAGAAAATAGTAAATGATCAAAATTTTATCTACAAATGCTCAAGTCGTTTGACCTTTAATAGGGACATGATGTGACGTCCCATTTGAGATTAGAATACTTAAAAGCCATATGGCCTGAAGATCCATATAAACCTATCGGTTTTCTCCACCTTTATCTGCTCAACCGTCGCGCAGTTGACATCAATGAACCTCACCGATGTGCCAAAGCACAAAAAGACTAAAGAGACAAGTATCCATCTTTCCTTTAGGACAATACACCTTGGGGAGAAACTCTCTCCGTAGTCCAAGGTCGCCTCCCTTTCTATGGGGATGCCCTTTCATCGTCTACCCCTCATAATTGTCCCTATAACCACTCTAGCTAATTACCGGCTGGTGCATCTCACTCCAGATATAACTATCACCATAGCCGCCCCCACCTAAGATGAGGTGACACCTTTGTCTGAAGAAACTGGGGCCCATTATATGCGTACGTTCTCTACTTTTGGTTCCGCCCATGTAGTGATTCACCGATGTGCCCACTATGAACGTACCGCGCCATGCAAAGTGTTGTGCTACGTAGTGTTGTCGCGTGCCCCCGCGGTGTGGTGAACATGCCACGCTATGCCGTGTCGTAGCGACACATACCTTCTTGTGTGCCACATGTGCCGACACACATCGCTTGTACGCGCGATTATGGCGGCCAGATCCCATGGCAGGACCTCATTATTCAAAGAGAGGGCCGTCACAACACCCCCAAGGATTTCACAGCTGTTACAGCCCTGGAGCAGCAAAGAGTGAGGGCACTGGATAAGGTGACCGTACTAGATAATAGTAGCTATAGCCCAGTAATGCATATCAAATACTCAAATTCTTCTTTGATTTACCAATACAACCCATTGCAATATACAGCAGTACATGAGCAAAGCATTCTTCCGAGAAAAAGCATTCTTCTGTTCATGATCCTTGCTCTTGGCGACACGAAACAACGCCCTCAAATCCAAGATGACCGCAATAAGCATCGACAACCTCTTTGGGCTCCAATTGCTAGTCGTATCCCTCATTCATGTTGATTTTGGCCCATTGGGCTTCAACCCTCCACACACCCATCGAATGGCGATAGAGAGCTCAGTCTCACTGTCATCAAAAACAAGCTCTACGTCTATTTCGTGACCTCCAACCCACCCAAGATCTTCACAACGCTGAAAACAAAGGGTGATGTCTTCCTCTTCCCCCAAAGGCTCATCCACTGCCAGTGGCACAAAGAGAGTTCCATCAGGTGGCCACTACTACGATAGGAGGTCCATTCTGGGCTGGTTGTCTACCATCTCCAACTCCCTAAAAGATCAATGAGATAGAGCTGCACCTCGTCAACAGATTTCTTCTTGATGCGTCATAATTTTGACGATTATTGAATTTTATTATCCAAGCTATACGAGCCAAACCAAGGATGATTTGCCATGGGCTACTATGTGCAAATTAGGCTTTAAGTATTTTTGTTTATAGCGCGTTTCCCCATGTTAATGAGGCGTATCCAAACACTATTAATCTATTCGAAAAATGACAGTGTTGCCGTTTAAGTTCGATTTATAAAAAAATGAATTTCTTTACGAATTTCAGTAAAGCTTTTAATATTCAAAAGGTTAAAGAAATTAATTATCTCTCCAGCGATATATCTTATTTCCATTTCTCTCATGGATGACTAGAGGCTCACCAACACATCCATGATCTAACTATATATCTATCCTTGCGATATGTCGTTCCATTGATCTATCATTCAGTGAAAGGTAGTCACTGCAATTTTAAATGCTAACGACATTCCTGGTCTGAGCTCACCTACCAAACCACACTTACACCCCTGAATAGTTCTCTCAGACGTCTATTTATACTTGCAAATATGATTTCTGATATGGTGGGTGAAAGGAGAGGAAGAATCCATGAACCCTTTAAGCTTATGTTCACGAATAATTCATAATGTCGTAGCCAAACGATGTAGTTTACTGGGTAAAACTAATCCAAGAGTTCAAAAAAATTATAAACATCGACTACAGTCATGAACATCCCTTTGATCACAAACGCTGACGAATTGCTTACGAGCCCACCAATGGATACAACAAACAATGAAGTAACCACACGCTATCTCCCTCCGATCTCAATTCGGATTCTGGTGATAGAGTCTTTGGTGACGTTCATAAGGATGAATCTTCGAAGGAACAGGCAGAGAAGTGCTAATTAATGAAAAGCTCTGAGAATAGAGAAAATTTGAAGGTACGTCCTGTTACTTGCGTCGGTTTTATTGTGTTACTTCCTGCGCTTGCATTATCCATTTGTAGCAGAAGAGACAACACCGGTCGAAAAATGCGTGCCGCACACGCAAATTTCACCAGTTGAAGTTTAGACCTTTCCCTGGGTCTTTGCAAATGTTTCCTTTGCAGTGGCCCTCTGGAGTCACTAGTATCAAGCTCTAACCAGAAGGCGTCGGTTGAGTGTATTGTAGGGGATTGGAAGGCTACTAGAGGGAAGACTAGTTCAGGGGATTGCTTGGAAGATTACTGACGTGCTTGGGGTTCTGATGTCTTCCGTCGTCTCCGAATGATGAAGTATAAACGCATTTTGGTCGAGCCGTCCCTTAGTTGGAAGGACAAGGTCGTAGCCGCGTTATCTCCATGCACTGAAGAGTTCCAACACCGTCTTGCAGCCCTTATGTTCCCTGCGTCATCTCTGTCTGGCCGTCAACGACGTGTCCCACCGAGACAATTTCATCGGTTTGGTATGTGAAACTTTATCACGTTGAATGGTTTGTCGATTTCTAGCTTGTTCCGGGGTGATCGTCGAAGCTTTTTTCCAGGAGTCGAGAGCGTTCATTGGGAAAGTAACCAGGTATCAAAAACGTATAACGATCTTTCTCGAAAGTTATTCTTGACCCTATTTCTACTCTATGTCGCGCGCAGACAGCCTCTTGTCATGTTGTCCTATTGTCTCTATGCGTCCACAGCGGACACTGTTTTTCGGGCGAGGGAAGAGTGCTGGAACGAACGAACAGAGAAATTAATATTTACCAAGCGAGAGAAGGTTGTCACGCGAAACAACCAAAAACAGGAATGAAGAACAGTTAGACATACCAAATAGGAGGTTCATACTGGATGTGAAAAAAATTCCCATGTCCATACTAACCCTTAACACCCCTGTAGAGGTCTCGGGATGGAAGAAATTTAAAGTCTACAAATGCAATTAATTTATCAATAGACGAAGGCGTTTAACAATCTCGTTGTGTGGCATTCAAACAGATTCTTTAAGAATGTACGATAGCTGTTGCAAATAAACGACGCGTTCCAGTCGACCGGGTGGGTAACGCTCTAAATGAAGAACACCGAAGATTTTTGGGTCACGTAATTCGTTCCTTTTTATTCTCCCCAGTGTTTGGGTAGTATTTTAGAAATTTCCGTTCTCCATGTCGAGAGAGGACCTCTTAAAGCTGAGAGCTTTAGAGCTGGTTCTACCATATGGCGTCATATATTTGAATAAAAAGGGTTGGTGTCATCGTTGCGTCAATACACTCCTCCTGTTTAAGTTTTTTTTTGCATTTTAGTAATAGGTTTACTGAGGAAAGTGCATGAATTCTTTTGTGGGGAGTAAATTAGCCATCTCATCTCTGGCCGTTCCTATTAAGTCGCATCTGTCCCATATTTTTCGGTCCCAGTCGATGAATGCTGACATAGCACCCTTGAAGTTTGACATAACTCCCATACTCTTTTCAGGACAACCTTGAAACTTTTTCAGTACTTCAAGAGGTGGCCCAATGGACGAGTTACAATCATTAAATCATATTATACTGCCCACAAACTTCTGTATCACCACTGATAGCCAGAAGCACATAAACTTACCAAGACGAGGATGTGCATTGCTACGATGGCAGCCGTACTAGGAGTGATTTTCCGAAAGGACGTAGTGGTATTTCGCTTAAACAAACCAGTAATTAGGTCGTTAAACGGAGTCCTACTTAATGCCCTAAGAACCAAGACGTTAAGTCAATGATTTCTCCATTTTAGACGGTTGCTGCGCATCCTGTTGACGCGATATGCAACAGAAAATGAACAAGTCGATGTCCTATAGATGTCGTGACTTCATTTATGGAATATTTGGATGGTATGACTGATGTATGAAACAAGATCAAGATATCCACGATTTTAAAAAACATGTAAACGGAGAAATCTACGCTGAATCGAAACCGATCAGGTGGGAGTTGCTTCACGTAACGGGGCAGATGGGAATAGATGAGGTCGATAAATCTCTTCACCTTAAAAAGTTGTTTCCCGCGACCCTTTGTCTCGAGTGAAATGCGGTAATTTTCATCACGAATTACCGATGACATCAAGTCACGCAAAGAGAGAAAGAAAACGCACCTTTTATAGACGTTCGAGGGTCTCCGCTGGATGGCGGCAAAGTTAGGGGTGCCGTTCTGAGATGCAAATCTAGCTCTCGCACTCTCTCCCCACATCGTGTTCCCCCCTCGACCCATCTATTTTTACTTCTGAGTCTCAAGTAATTAGAGTCGAAAAAATGAAGAAACGCTGCACCGGCAGAAAGCCGCCTCACGCGTATGGAGACTGCCTAACGGCCGAGGAGCCTACTCACCAATGGGGATGATACAAATAGCTCCGGAGTCTGAATCCTTTTATTCAATAGCAAATAAGAATGCAGAATCACAGACACAAGGGGTAGGTCTCAGTGGTTTTCCGTCCAGAACAGCGATTGGAGGTGGTCCACGACCTTCTTGTCGACCTGCAAAGCCTTGGCAAGCACGTCGTCGTTGATGGCAGGATTGGACTCGAAGACGGTGTTGGCGACGGTGATCACGCCGGGGTTCTGGCTGCTCAGGGCGGCGATAGCTACCGCATTCTCGCGGCCTATGTTGAGCTGGAAGTGGATGAGGCCCTGGGGGAAGACGAAGACGTCGTCCTTGTTGAGAGTCTTGGTGAAGAGCTTGGGGGGGTTGGAGGTGACGAAGCCCACGTAGCCCAATATCCGGATGGTATGATTGAGGATATGTACCAAGATATAGAAATCCACGGCATTAACAAGCATACCAAAGGAGGAGTCTACGTTCAATCGGAACCGGTCAGGTGGGAGCGCAGCTTCAAGTCACGGGGAACCTCATAATCAGTCAGTTCATTTATCACGGGCATGAAGACCAAGTCTTTGCCTTTGCAATCTTCCTTCTATAAACACCGACAGCCAAGATTACTTTCCATGTTACAATCTTCAGTTTTTTACGCTCTGGTGCTGCGAATGGCAAGACCGGAGCGTAAAAACGCCTTTAGTACTGGCAAAAGTCTCCCCGTTTTTTCCGCATGGCATACCGGAGGGTTTTTTTCCGCATGGCAAAAGTCTTAAGCACTGGTCCATTAGACTTCTGGTCCTGCGTTCCGTTCTTGTTTTCTCCTTTGGAGAGCGTTTCTATATATACAGTCAAGACGTCGTTCGCTGCGATACTCTCCTCATCTGTCCGGCTCTTATCCCCCCATAGACCTTTCAAATTCACCGTGAGGTAATGGATGGAGAAACCCTTCTAGAAGAAGAATCAATAAACATGTTACCTAAAACGACTGGCCTATCACCGAATATGTCATCTTTCATGGAGAATCAGGAAATATGCTCAGCAACTATCAACAAAGTAGGCTACTGTCTGGTTCCCCAGTTACCAAATCATCTTACTTAAAATACTGTTTCCCTCGTCCCCTTCGTTCCCCTTTGAGTGGGAACGGAATTTTTGTCTCGAACCACAGAGGACTCTAAGTGCCGCTAATGGAGAAACCAAACGCATCTTCTGAAGACTTTCCATGCCCTGCGATAGATGGCAGTTGAGCCAGGGGTGTCAGTATCTGTATTTTCGGAACTCGCCCACAGCGATGCTCCAACGTCAGTATCCGAACCAAGTTCGTAACGTTACCCCTCTCGCGCTCTCTCCAGGTCGTGTTCCATCTGGACCCATCTACTTTTACTTCTTACCCTCTAGATATTAAAGTGCAAAAGACAAGGACGCACTTGACAGCAGAGAGCCGCTTCACGCGAATCGACTCTGCCTAACGACCGACGAGTCTACTGACCAACGGGGATGATACAAATAGCTCCGGAGTCTGACTCCTTTTATTCAATATCAAATAAGAATGCAGAATCACAGACACAAGATGTAGGTCTCAGTGGTTTTCCGTCCAGAACAGCGATTGGAGGTGGTCCACGACCTTCTTGTCGACCTGGAAAGCTTTGGCGAGCACGTCGTCGTTGATGGCAGGATTGGACCCGAAGACGGTGTTGGCGACGGTGATCACGCCGGGGTTCTGGCTGCTCAGGGCGGCGATGGCTACCGCATTCTCGCGGCCTATGTTGAGCTGGAAGTGGATGAGGCCCTGGGGGAAGACGAAGACGTCGCCCTTGTTGAGAGTCTTGGTGAAGAGCTTGGGGGGGTTGGAGGTGACGAAGCCGACGTAGAGCCTTCCCTGGAGCAGTGTGAGCACCTCCGTGGCCCTCGGGTGTGTGTGTGGAGGGTTGAGCCCATAGGGGGCAAAGTCTACTCGGGCAAGCGAGATGCCGAGGGTGTTAAGCCCGAAGAGGTTGTTGACGTTGACGGCGGTGACCTTGGATCCCAGAGCGTTCTTCGTGTTACCGGGCTTGTCGAGGCCAGAGAAGAAGAAGTCGTCGGCCTTGACAAGGGCCGGGTTCTTGCAGACCACACCATTTAGGAACACTGTAACCAACCCAGATTATGAGAAGGACACAGTAAGGATAAAACCGCGCGTCGATCGAGAGGACTACACGGCACGTACCGTTGGTGGTGTTGTCTGCGACACAAAAGTCCTGCAGCTGACTGGGGTCGGTGGCGAAGGCCTGGGTGGATGCGAGGACGAGCACGACGAGGGCGAAAACGTAGGAGGCCATCGTTGGATCCCTCGTTGTTTGGAGAGTGTATTTCTCCGCAGGTTGTTGTGGGGTTTTGGAGCAGCAACCCGCTGGTGGGGGTACTTATAGACGGACTGAGGGGTTTGAAGCGCGTACATCGGGATCTGGAGAGATGGAATTGGACTACGTCTGATTTCTACCCGAGTTCTGCCGAATGGAGGTCTTCTGACCCAGTCATTTTTGATATAAGAAAGGCGGCTCAGAAGAGATAAGACAGTTGACTATGTCTCTCTTTATCAATTCTGGAGTACGAAAGGACCTCTGACCGAGTCGTCTCTGTGTGCAAGCAAGAATTGCCGAAATGGAACCAAAACGTCGCGGCAAAGTTTAATCCTCCGAATTTGAAGGTTCCGACTTTGCCCTCTGCTCTGCTCTTCCGTTGCTAACCCGTACCCCGCATCATAGCCGGTATCCCACGTGGACAATCTTAGATTGGATTGTTCCTATCGTACTGGCGTGTCTTCCCACGAGGCACTTGTCTGGCCACGTATTGGGCGAAACACCTTTTCTCGTCTAATTTTCTTCTGGTTATTTTTTAAACTGGAATAACGTGGTAAACCAAATTCAAGTTTATTTTCTTTTCACCACACTCATCCAAGCTTAAAGAAAACATTGAGAGCAGTGCTTCTGGGGTAACTAGATATAAACCATTGATTACTACAATCGTCTTCCTCGAAAATAGTTCTACCCACTGATTCATTTTGTTCGAGCCCGAAACGGACAAGGCTTTTCTTCCACTCCCTGATGGTGTTCACCTCTCAACGATATGGGCTATTTTCTAGCGTTTACCGGCGCCTGCGTTTCGGGGAGAGGGGAACCCTTCTAGGTTCCTAAACGTGTCTGAGAACCCCGTCTCAGTCTCGTTACATACAGAGAGGACTTGGTCGTGTCGAAGACAAGTTCCGTTGGCTTTTGAAAGTTATTGACGCGGTAGGTTTTTTAGCGACCCAAGCAACGTTGTTATTGCCGTATCAAAAACCCTCCCCGGGTCTTAGTTCTTCATCTCAAAGGTCGGTACAGAGCAGGTCCCAGTTACTGTCTTCCTTCAAACATTAATGATATGGACTACTGGTGTGTCCAGGACATTCCGTTTTGCACAGTGAATTGACTGTGTCGTGGCGCGTTGCTTCCGCTGAGCCCGCAGCTACTTCATACTTCTCGTTCCCCGCCGGTGATTGCAAAAAAGGAATGCGGTTGGGACTTTACGTTATCATCGCTTACGTTCGCCATGAACTCGTCCACTCTTTTAGGACCTCCCTGGAAATCTCTATTCTTGTCCGTAGTAATGGGGCAGATTTTCAAAGAGGCCGAGAGGCCAGAGTCACAACTTTTAGGCTATGCTTCATTCCTTACAGACACCAAAAATATCTCCATGCATAAAAACTAATCACGTATAGGTATCCAGTGCTCCAGAATGTTGTAACGAACCCTTAAAGATGTCACACATGGTACGACGCCACATCCTTGTTGGGGGACATGACATTTGAGAGAAAATTTTAGGATTGTCGAATTGTGATGCCAGGTCAATGTGCACGGTCACTTAGACACATCCTTTTTCGTCGACGAGGTATTTAAATATGAAATATCCATTTCGGTATAAGACCACAACTTTGAAAGGTGAGGAAACCTGCCTATTACTCGCCCCTTTTCGGAGTACGGCAATGCAAATTCTCCTGCTCTATCAAACGAGATGATTTACTACCGGTTTGGGATGCAGAGCTATAGATTTGTTGTGCTAACAGGAAACTGTGAAAATTTCTTCGAGCACGGTCTGCTCTATGGTTAACACCGGTCAGTTAGGACCGGCGACGGGGTAGAAATAGAAGCTTTGCCAGATTCGACACTATATTCACGTCGGTTATAGTTAACAATTTTAGAAAGGTGATCTATTCACAGAGAAAAAAGTTGATTACCCCAGTGAAAGGAACTTTGTACTTGAATCTACTTTGTAACACTTTTTCATTGATAAAGAACTCTGATGTGTTCGTCACTGGTGGAGTGACTTTACATTTCGATTGTAGGTTCATTGAGATTTCTACCGTTCAACGTCGACAATATATGGCCCATAGCGTTGATGTAGAAATCTCACCTTTCGATCATTGTGTGATTCACTGTTGATGTTGTGACATCCGTTAAGTTATCGTGCGAGAGGTAGCATCCAAAGCCATGTACCGTGTGACATGGTCGGACAAGTAGCATGACAATTGTACGTCTACAAAGATGACAAGGAATTTAGGAAAAATGGATGATCGGACTAAAGGCTTCCACTAATCCACCATTAGTTTTGTATATTATTTGTTGTATTGGACTGACCCTAGAGAATGCTTCACTAGTTATTTCCCGGGTATTTTGCTCACAATGCTAAGATCAGTTTCGTAATTTTGCACATGTACGTACCACTGAACAAGGGATTTTCCTCTGTGCAATAAATTTGATAGCATTGTATATTTTAAAATCTTTTTGCTATTAACTTTAGCACCTCGATGAATTTTCTCTAAGCAGTTCTTTTGTTCTTGGATCTCATTTTTCGCTACTTTGCCTGGCGATGGGGTTATCCGACGTCCCAACTTATCCGACCACATAAATTCTTACAAAACCTGGCATACGTTATTGCATTTAAGTTTGAATCGTTTGCATAGTATTCTCCATTGTAGCTGCCGTGCAATCCAAACCACGGTACAGTCTCTCGGCAGATTCTTTAGTTAAGAGCGCGATAGACCTACTGATTTTTGTTGTAGGACACTCCTAGCGTAGCAACGTAGATGGTGTTAACGCTGGCGTCCTGGCTGCTCAGGACAGCGAGGGTTACTGCACTCTGATAGCCTATGATTAACCGTAAGTGGATCTGGTCCTTGGGGAAGACGAAGACGTCGCCCTTGTTGCGAATCTTCGCAATAAGGCTCTAGGGACAAGGTCCCTGGAGCTCTCTGTGGGAGATTGTTGACGTTGACTGCGGTGACCGAGAGTGTTGTTCGTGTCATGGTGATCCTGGAGGAGACAGAAGATGAAGCCGTTGGCCTCGACTTAGTTGACAGGATTCATACAAACATCAAGATTTAAGAACACTGTAACAAACACGGATCGTTACATGTACGCACAGTATAGATGAAGTTGCACATCGGTTTGTAAGGTGCGGTTCACGACGAACTTTGGTGGTGTTCTCTAGACGACTTAAGTCTTGTGGTGAACTTGGGTCGGCGGAGACGGAATGCAAGGGCGCGGATGGTGAAGAAAAGGGCGTGGGAGTCAATTCATGTACACTTGGTGGTGGCGCCTTCATCTAACATCTCTGCATCAAGTGACGGATAATACCGAAGAAGGATGAATCCGACTTTCTAGATGGTCTACTTCCAAGCAATAGGACGAAAGAGCCCATCGGTGGAGTGCATGGGATTTTGACTTCGTCTATTGTCTCTAACTGATAAATGGGGACCTTCGAAACGCCCTATCAGCGGAGACGGCGAGTAAATGATTTGTGAATTTTGGAGGGTTGTTGCTCAGCCCGCTGACGTGATATGCAAAAGTAAGTGATCAGATGGATGACCTATGGATAGTATAATTGAGGATATCCATTAAAATGTAGATTTCAACGGTTTTAAGAAACATAAGGAGGGAGCTACGCTGAATGGGAACCGGTCAACTGGGAGTAGTTACAAGCGACGGTGCATCTCTCATTGTGTTTCCTAATTCGTTTAACATGGACGCAAGGACCAAGTCTTTTCCTTTATACACTTCTATAAACACGGAGAAAAAATCACCCGCCGAGTTACGACCTTCATTTTCACACATGCATGTCTCTTGCACAGTTCCATAAGAATTCTGCTCTTGCTCTCCTTTCTTGTTTTCTCTTTGGCAGTTTGCTTCACTTTTCCGGTTCTTATCCCAACACGGTTCATCCAATTTATTGCCAGATAATGCGTGCAAAAGTCATCTTATTGAAACACAGAAAGCCTTCTAGAATAAGGAAATCGAAAACATATAACCGAAAACAACGACCGGCGCATCACCAACTTTACCACGCTTCAGGGAGAATAACGAAATATGTTCAGCAACTATAAGCATGGTTGACAGTTGTCCGGTTCCCATGTCGATAAATCTCTTCACCCTAGACTTTGTTTCCCTCTACCTTTTAAGTGAAGTGAAAGAACATTAACCTTCGAATGGGAATGCAATTTTCGACTCGAATTAGAGATCAGTTTAAGTGACGCAGACGCAGAAAGAAACCGCATCTTTCGAACACATTCAACGTCCTCTCGATAGCGGTTGAGTTTGGGGGGGTACCCCGGAAGTTCATCGAGCTATTTAAGAGAGTCATCTTTAGCGATCCTCCGACGTCAGTATCCGTCCAGCTTCCGTGACCTTATCCCTCTCCCACTCCCTCTCCGCATCGTGTTCCCCTCTAGTTCACCATGCCGTTTTTAGTTCTGAGCCACTAGTAATTAGAGTCGAAAAAATGAAGACACACTGAACCGGCAGAAAGCCGCTTCATGCGAATCGACTCTGCCTAACGACCGACGAGCCTACTGACCAATGGGGATGATAAAAATAGCTCCAGAGTCTGACTCCTTTTATTCAATATCAAATAAGAATGCAGAATCACAGACACAAGATGTAGGTCTCAGTGGTTTTCAGTCCAGAACAGCGATTGGAGGTGGTCCACGACCTTCTTGTCGACCTGCAAAGCCTTGGCAAGCACGTCGTCGTTGATGGCAGGATTGGACCCGAAGACGGTGTTGGCGACGGTGATCACGCCGGGGTTCTGGCTGCTAAGGGCGGCGATGGCTACCGCATTCTCGCGGCCTATGTTGAGCTGGAAGTGGATGAGGCCCTGGGGGAAGACGAAGACGTCGCCCTTGTTAATGAGGCGTATCCAAACACTATTAATCTATTCGAAAAATGACAGTGTTGCCGTTTAAGTTCGATTTATAAAAAAATGAGTTTCTTTACGAATTTCAGTAAAGCTTTAATATTCAAAAGGTTAAAGAAATTAATTATCTCTCCAGCGATATATCTTATTTCCATTTCTCTCATGGATGACTAGAGGCTCACCAACACATCCATGATCTAACTATATATCTATCCTAGCGATATGTCATTCCATTGATCTATCATTCAGTGAAAGGTAGTCACTGCAATTTTAAATACTAACGACATTCCTGGTCTGAGGTCACCTACCAAACCACACTTACACCCCTGAATAGTTCTCTCAGACGTCTATTTATACTTGCAAATATGATTTCTGATATGGTGGGTGAAAGGAGAGGAAGAATCCATGAACCCTTTAAGCTTATGTTCACGAATAATTCATAATGTCGTAGCCAAACGATGTAGTTTACTGGGTAAAACTAATCCAAGAGTTCAAAAAAATTATAAACATCGACTACAGTCATGAACATCCCTTTGATCACAAACGCTGACGAATTGCTTACGAGCACACCAATGGATACAACAAACAATGAAGTAACCACACGCTATCTCCCTCCGATCTCAATTCGGATTCTGGTGATAGAGTCTTTGGTGACGTTCATGAGGATGAATCTTCGAAGGAACAGGCAGAGAAGTGCTAATTAATGAAAAGCTCTGAGAATAGAGAAAATTTGAAGGTACGTCCTGTTACTTGCGTCGGTTTTATTGTGTTACTTCCTGCGCTTGCATTATCCATTTGTAGCAGAAGAGACAACGCCAGTCGATTGTCGTCTATTATCTTCTGATCACTCTTGTCGTCTCCTTGAATCTCTATACGGCCGTCTATAAATACTCATCGTTATCTTCTTGAGTTACACATCGAACTCAGATTACTTAGACTCCCAACAAATCGAGAAGAATGGCCTCGCAAGCCCTTCTATTCGCCCTTCTTCTCCTTGCTTGTTCCCCGGCGTTGGCTTCCAACCTGAGTTTACTTGACGACTTCTGCGTTAGAGATAACTCCTCCAAAGGTAAAGTGAAGACCAAGGTTTCATTGCGTCATCGAGAAGAATGGCCTCGTATTCTGTTCTACTTTTTCGTCTCACAGGCCGCTATCTTTTTTCTCCCTCATCAACATTGTTCGCAGTGTTCCTGTGTGGTTTTCCCTGCAAGAACCCGAAGAACGTCACGGGGGACGATTTCTTCTTCAGTGGGCTTGATATTCCAGGAAACACATCAAACACTCTCGGATCCAGCATAATAATCGTTGACGTCAAAGTTATCCTGGGGCTCAACCTGCTGGGAATATCGTTGGAGCGCATTGACTTCGCACCTGGCGGAGTGAACCCTCCCCACATCCACCCTAGGGCCACCGAGATACTCCTCGTCCTGGAGGGCACCCTCCTCGTGGGCTTCATAACCTCCAACAACAAGCTCATCGTCAAAGTCCTCGTCAAGGGCGATGTTTTCGTGTTCCCCAAGGGCCTCATCCACTTTCAGATTAATATCAGCGTGAGTGTGGCGATAGCTATCACGGCTCTGAACAGCGAGAAACCTGGAAGCATCGTCATTGGTGACTCCATTTTCGGGTCGCATCTTCCCATCCCCGTCGACGTCCTCACAAAGGCCTTCAACGTGGACGCGGACATTATCGAGAAGATTCAGTCTAAGTTTTAAGTGCATAATCATAGTAATCCTGCCCCGTCCAAGATTCGAGTGCTAAAATAATGGCCCATACATCGACTACCTCCGTTAGGAGGGATAGATGTAGATGTTGTTGTGGTCGTGTTCGGATTACCTCTCCGTATTTCACCGTCTACCGTACTATTATGCTTAAATAAGTGACCGTCAAGAGCTTATGTTCGCGTGTCACCTGATAATAACGTTATGGGTCTATCGATCCGGTGCGTGTAGTAGACATGTTCGTTCTGCTTAAGACGGATGTCTAATGCGAGGGCGTCACACGATGTTCCAGACAAAAAGTCACATGGGTGCCATTTAGTTGACTTCAAGTGATATTTCCTCTTTGACGGGGAGGAAGTTGATTGCTTCTTTCTCGCGTTCCCCGAGCGTGTTTAGCAATGCACAGAAGAAAAGTCAATGACAAATAGTTTTGTGAATTTTACAAAGCCGCCATTTAAAGAACCATATGTCATTCGTTTTTTCCGGTTTATATTGGGCTTCTAGAACCTAGAGCCATTACTATCCCCTTTGATGGAAGAAATGATACCTTGAAAATGTCAACCGTATGACTAAATTCTTTTCACTAAGAATTCCCGTTTACAATATAATGTATAACAATAATTTTATTAGTATCAGAGGCCTTTCTTAAAAGACCGGCAGATTGTCAGTTAAGAAATACCAAGAACCTGATGCAAAAGCTTGGGATGTTGATTAATCTTTAGTCCTTGAGTACCGGAACAAATCAAAGAAATGAATTAGAGAGTTACTATAGTAGTCAACAAAAAAAACGATAAGTGGCAAAAAGTCTAATAGACATAAGAATATTGTTCTACATGAGACATTTTCTAGACACCCTCAAACAAAAAGCTTCGATTAAACAAGTCATCAAGGATATACCCAATAAATATGATCCATGTATTCAATCATGCTTTTTTCTATGAACTGAAGGTTTAAAATAATGCTTCAACCTTGCCAAGATAAGGTATAAGTGTACCATTAACATGAATAACTTCAGTCAAAGTACTAGTACATGTACCTTATTTAAGGAACCTAAGACATGAGACCATGTTTTCCATCATGAACGCTGTAACACGTTTGATCTGGTTCCATAACACACCACTGTGTTCCATCATCCTGTTTCAAATTACTCTTAGACACTACGTTTAGTCCTATTTTTTACATTACAATCATAGAAATTATATATATGTAGCAAGAATACTTCTGAAAAGTAAAACACGTGAGAAAGTATTTAATCAAGTTTCATGTAAAAAAGAAACAAATTTTTAAAGTTCATGGGCCTTAATTGATATTCTTCTATGTTCATTATTCAGTTTCAATTAAAGTTCGTGACATCTAGAGCCAACAATAAAAGTAATGGTTTAAACACCAAAAAAAGGGGATACATTTTACAAAGGGGTTCAATAAATCGAAGATTTCCACAACTCTCTCTCTCTCTCTCTCTCTCTCTCTCTCTCTCTCTCTCTCTCTCTCTCTCTCTCTCTCTCTCTCTCTCTCTCTCTCTCTCTCTCTATCTATCTATGTATCTATGTATCTATCTATCTATCTATCTATCTATCTATCTATCTATCTATCTATCTATCTATGTATCTATGTATCTATGTATCTATGTATCTATGTATCTATCTATCTATCTATCTATGTATCTATGTATCTATGTATCTATGTATCTATGTATCTATGTATCTATGTATCTATGTATCTATCTATCTATCTATCTATCTATCTATCTATCTATCTATCTATCTATCTATCTATCTATCTATCTATCTATCTATCTATCTATCTATCTATCTATCTATCTATCTATCTATCTAGCTAGCTATCTATCTATCTATCTAGCTATCTATCTATCTATCTATCATGTATCTATGTATCTATGTATCTATGTATCTATCTATCTATCTACCTATCTACCTATCTATCTATCTACCTATCTATCTATCTATTTATCTATCTATCTATCTATCTATCTCTCTTTTGAAGAGTTTCGATTCCCTACGCTGGATGGCGGCTCAGTTGGGGGTCTCTTCCTGCAACACAACCCATCTGCGGAACTCAGAGGTGACAACCCCCGAACGCCAGTACCCATACAGGTTCCGTGGCGTTGCCCCTCTCACGCTCTTTCTCCGCGTCGTTTCCCCCTGGATGCATCTACTTTTATATCGCAGTCTCTAGTAACTAGAGTCGGAAAAAAATGAAGAAACACAGCGACGGCAGAAAGCCGCTTCACGCGTATGGAGTTTGTGTAACGACCAACCAGCCCATTCACCACTGGGGACGATACAAATAGTTCAAAAGTCTGAGATCTTATATTCAACAGCAAATAAGAACGCAGAATTACAGGCAAAGGTGTAGGTCTCAGTTGCTGTCCGTCCAGAATTGGGACTTGAGGTAGTCCACGACCTTCTTGTCGACCTGGAAAGCCTTCTCGAGCACGTTGTCTTTGATGGCAGGACTGGACCCCAAGACGGCGTCGGCGACAGTGATCACGCCGGGGTTCTGGCTGCTCAGGGCAGCAATGGCTACCGCATTCTCGCGGCCTATATTCAGCTGGAAGTGGATGAGGCCCTCGGGGAAGACGAAGACGTCGCCCTTGTTGAGAATCTTGGAGAAGAGCTTGGGCGGGTTGGAGGTGACGAATCCGACGTAGAGCTTGCCCTGGAGGAGTGTGAGCACCTCCGTGGCCCTCGGGTGGGTGTGGGGAGGATTGAGACCATGGCGGGCAAAGTCTACGCGGACGAGCGAGATGCCGAGGGTATTAAGCCCGAAGAGGTTGTTGACGTTGACGGGGGTGACCTTGGATCCCAGAGCGTTCTTCGTGTCGAAGGGTTTGTCGAGGCCGGAAAAGAAGAAGTCGTCGGCGTTGACATGGGCCGGGTTCTTGCAGACGACACCATTTACGAACACTGCAACAAACCCAGATTATGAGAAGAGCACAGTGCAGAGAAAGCCGCGAGTCGATCGTGAGGGCTACACGGCACGTACCTTTGGTGGTGTTGTCTGCGACACAGAAGTCCTGCAGTTGGCTCGGGTCAGAGGCGAAGGCTTTGGTGGACGCGAGGACGAGCACGACGAAGACGAAAACGTAGGAGGCCATCGTTGGATCCCTCGTTGTTTCGAGAATCTAATTTCTCCGCAAGTCGTGATGGGCTTTGGAGCAGCAAAACCTTTGGTGTGAGTACTTATAGACGGACAGGAAGATTTGAAGCGCGTAGATGGGAATCTGGAGCGAGGGAATTGGACCACGTCAGATGTCACGTCGAGTGCTGCGGAATGAAGGTCTTCCGACCCAGTCATTTCTGATGTCAGAAAGCCGGGTCTGAGGACTTACGCCGTTTGACTTCGTCTCTTCCCTCTAATTTCTGGCGGCAAAAGGACTTCTGACCGAGTCGTCTCTATACGCTACAAAGAATTGCCGAAATGGAAGGAAAGGTGGCCGCCAGGTTTTTTACCCTTTGAATGTCAACTTTCTAACTCTGCACTCCGCTCTTCTGTTCGCAGGCTAACCCATAGCCCGTCACCATAGTCCGTGTCCCACGTAGACAATCTTAAATAGGAGTGTCATGGTCGTACGGATTTTCAACGAGGCACGCGTCCGACCAAGTATCGAACGAAGGACCTTTTCTCGTCCAATTTTGTGCTGGTCGTCTAAACTCAAATAAACGTAGAGGACCCAATGCAAGTCTGTTTCCCTTTTGCCATAATCATCCAAGCTTAAGTAAAACATTGAGTGCATTGCTTCCCCGGTTACAGAGATTTAACGCTTGATTACTACAATCGTCCTCCTCAAAAATCTTTAGTCCTTGGGTACCAGAACAAATCAAAGAAATGGATTAGAAAATTACTATAGTAGTAAACAAAGACAATGATAAGTGGCCAAAAGTCAAATAGACATGAGTATCATTCTATAGGAAACTTTTTCGTGCGTTTTACTTTTCAGAAGTATTCTTGCTCTATATATATAACTTCTATGATTTTAATGTACAAAATAGGACTAGTAGTTTCTAAGGTGAATTTGAAACAGGAAGATGGAGCATAGTGGTGTGTTATGGGACCAGATCAAACGTGTTACAGGGTTCATGATGGAAAACATGGTCCCATGTATTAGGCTCCTTAAATCACATATATGTACTAGTACTATGACTGAAACTATTCATGTTAGTATATACTTATACTTTATCTGGGCATGGTTGAAGCATTATTTTAAACCTTCAGTCCCATAGAACAGATGATGATTGAATACATGGATCATATTTCTTGGCTATAATCCTTGATGGCTTCTTTGGTCAAAGCTTTTTGTTTGAGGGTATCTAGAAAATGTCTCATGTAGAATAATATTCTTATGTCTATTAGACTTAAAGTTAATACAAACTCAAAAATATCTAAAAATTGAATAGAAAAATGATTTGAAATCAGGATTTTTCCCCTTTGACACTAGAGAACGGTGGAGAACGATTTTTCGCAAAATCCTGGATAAAATTTTAGAAATTTATTGTTTCTTCAATTCATTCACCCATCACCTGAGTGAATCAAAGAAACAAATTCAAAATGTCATGAAGATCAGACTTTTATCATAAGAACATTGTCGTCCATTACCCAGTGAAAAGAGTAAGAAAATAACTTTTTTGTCCTAAACCAGAATTTTTTTATACTCCTTTTAGATCTAAAATCCATTCTAGATAGTGAGGAATCAATGTACTAAAAAACAGTTTAATATTTAGTGAGAATTGAATTCCATTTCTCCATCCATTTTCCCACTCATCTTTTCGTCCATTTATAGTTGTTTATAGTTGTTTCTTGACATTTTCACTCATTTCCACTTATTTCTAAATTCATTTAATTTAATTACATAAATCAAAAAGGGGGTTAATGGGGCTTCCTTAATAGGCTCAAAATTCTCCAATAAATCAGTATATATTACAAGAATATTCTGAAAAATCACTAAAAATAAGGGGGAGAATATTTGTTATCTAAAAAATAAATTATAACGATTTTGGCCCTAATAATGACATATTTGAGTGTTAAAATGTCAAGACATATTAACATATTACTAGAAAAGAATGTAAAATCATACATTAAGTATATATTTCACAACATTAATATAAAATATATTTTTCATGATTTAACATGAAATTTATATCATTTAACATAAAGTAATGCAACAAATATACTAATTGTGTTACTTATCACATAAAAATGACTTGTTATCAAGTTCAACAGTTCCACTCTAAGGTGGGAACCTAGGCACATGATTGAACATGGGACCAGCAGCATGTGAGGGAGATGGTCAAGGCAACGCCATGGTAGCAACAATCGACACAACAAGTGAAGCAACCTCAATAGATGGTGGGACGGTCAAGGCAACACCCAATGATTCCTCAAGAGGGACAATTGTCACCCACAAGGAGTAACAGTTATGAAGGGCCCTCACAATATATATAAAGGGGTCCAATTAGTAGGAAAGGACAATGAACCTCATCTGAGCTCACCTCTTTGGTGCTCTCTACCTATGCAACGATGAGTGGAAGGCTAGTTACGAGAATAAAGGGAAGCCCTACCACCTACAGTTAGGCCTTAGTATAGTACTTGGACCTTGGATTCTTTTGAAATATTCTAAGCTTAGAGACTTACAAAGGTTTACGAAATGTATTCATAGAAGGTGGAAAATGTCCTCTTCTTCATGATCTGTATAACTAGAGATATTCACTAACCAATGCAAAAGAATGGTAACAAGAGAACAATATTTTCATTTTTTTGGCTTTCTATTTCAAGAAAAATAGCCATTTGGAAACTAGGGTGTTGAATCTCTACTTTATTTTGATATAATCGAGTGTTAACCTTCATCTATCAATGGTCCACACACATACTTGTTTTTCTATTTCTTAGTATAACATCCACTTGTATGTTTGGGGTCAACCTATGTGTTTCCAAACTATGTTTTCCTTACAAGTGTTGAGAGTTTTACTTCACAGTTGTCTCATTTAGTGCTTGTGTTTTATTTTTCCCAAGGGCCAGAACATTAGGTGGGTTTCAACCTATTAACTTTATTCAGGTTTACAAACACACTAAAGCATTTAGATTTTCATTTGAATCAATTTAGGTTATGAAGTTTTATCAGGTCACCTTCTTTTTTTTCATTCTTTATTTAAAATCCTTGTGACTTGAAAATCATGGCAAAGATTAAATATATTACTGTATTGACCCAAGTTTATAATCATGAGAATCAACTCATTGATTTCAAAAAAACCACCCATGTATCTCAATTAATCTTCTGCCCCTCATGTATCTATTCATTGAATATCTCCTGCATCCCATTTATGACATAAAAAGTGGCACACATCGTCAATTACAAACATTTGCCCAACAAAGTAACAGTAAATCACCTGATATATCTATATCTATATATATATATATATATATATATATATATATATCATGCTCTCTCTCTCTCTCTCTCTCCCTCTCTCTCTCCCTCTCTCTCCCTCTCTCCCTCTCTCCCTCTCTCTCTCCTCTCTCTCTCCCTCTCTCTCCTCTCTCTCTCTCTCTCATCTCCTCCCTCTCTCCTCCTCTCTCCCTCCCTCTCTCCCTCCCTCTTTCTCATACTCTCCCTCTTTCTCTCCCTCTCCTCTCTCTCTCCCTCTCTCTCTATCTCTCTCTCTCTCCTCTCGCCCACTCTCTCGCCTCTCTCTCTCCCTCTCCCTCACCCTCTCCCTCTCCCTCTCCCTCTCCTCTCCTCTGTCTCCCTCTCTCTCCCTCTCTCTCCTCTCTCATACTCTCTTCTCCCTCTCCCTCCTCCACTCTCCCTCTCTCTCTCTCTCTCTCTCTCTCTCTCTCTCTCTCTCTCTCTCCCTCTCTCTCTCTCTCTCTCTCTATCTCTTTCTCTCTCTCTCGCTCTCTCTCTCTCTCACTGAAGTAGTACGGATCAAGATGTTAACAAGAAGGAGATACTCAGAAATAAGGCTAATCTTTACTTGCAAAAGAAATAACACCAAACCAGAAAGAGACCAGCGTTGTTTAACGAAGAAACCACTTGCGCCCTTTAAACACTACTAGAGTTGACCGGAGCACTTTAATGAGTACATCCATTTTGACCAGCCGATCGCCCAGTGCTCCATGGCAGCCACATGGCACTTCCACGTTACCTTTTTATTTAAAATAAAATATTATCACTTCATTTAAGTACTTGGGAAAATATTTATAGACTAAATGGAACGTAATAAAACGAAAATATCTGACCTTATGTTCCGTATCCTCTACTTCCCACTTGGGCCGCTTTGTTGGGCTGGGCATCACAGTTCGCTGGTCCGCCCGGCCCATTAACCGCAGGATAACCGTTGGAGCAAAATGGTAGTTATAGATTAGTTTAAGGGTATAGATGTAAATCAAGCTGTGCACTGGTTGAAGTCAATGAAGATGTCCTCTCACTTCCCAGATCTCTCCAGCTTCACTCGCCGGCACCGGCCGATCTCGCTGCCCCTGCTACGCCGGCGCCGCCGCTTTCTCGCCGGAGACGGTGGCCGTAACAGTCGAGCCGAAGATGAGGGAGATCCTTCATATCCAGGGGGGCCAATGCGGGAACCAGATCGGGGCCAAGTTCTGGGAGGTGATCTGCGACGAGCACGGGATCGATCCCACCGGCAAGTACTCCGGCGACTCCGAGCTGCAGGTGGATCGGATCAATGTGTACTACAATGAGGCCAGCGGGGGTAGGTACGTCCCCCGGGCGGTGCTCATGGATCTGGAGCCGGGAACCATGGACTCCGTCCGATCGGGGCCTTTCGGCCAGATCTTCAGGCCGGACAACTACGTCTTCGGCCAGTCCGGCGCCGGCAACAACTGGGCCAAGGGGCACTACACGGAGGGGGCTGAGTTGATCGATTCTGTTCTCGATGTTGTGCGCAAGGAGGCCGAGAACTGCGACTGCCTTCAAGGTAAAAATTTATCTGAATCCGCGAATGCCTGGTTCCCCCGAATCCTCCTATCTCTGCTTCCTCCTTCCGAGTCGTTTTACATTCGGAAATCCAGCAATCGCCATCAGACGTTCCGGCATTTTCGGAGTACGCTTGAATCTTCCCTCGCCCCAACCCAATTTTTCTTTTACCGTACCTTGGATTCTTCTGTAAGTAAATAAGAATCTCCGTCGAATTCTCTAAGATCTCATTTCTTCTGCCTGTGCTTCCGAGCCCTATCGTCCAAGAAATAAATGAAATGTACTTTCTCATACCAGCACACGTCAGTCGTTGCTGTTGAGGACTTAGAACAACGTTTTCACTGAGGATTTTTAGCGTTCGATAAATTATGTTTCTAAATGCGTGAATCTCCGCCAGAAAAAAAGGACGGGACTGCAGGAATTTTTGAGTTTTTCTTGCATGATCATCCTCTTTCAGTCGTCCTTGCTGCTGGATCTGTTAGGTCCAACGAAGGCGAGCATGTTACCATTTTTTTTTTTTTCTCTATTAGATACAATCAGGTCAACTTTGACTGAATTTTGGACTGCGGATTACACAATATGATATCTTAGCTCCAAGATCCGTTCTCTTCTCGAGCTCTTCGTCAAGATCCCAAGTTCAGGACTAATAAATTACTTGTGAGGCGCCAAGTTCCATCTCTGGGACTTTGATCTGAAGCTATCTTCTTGACAGTCTTTAGAAAAAAAAAGGTTGAAGTGGGTTTGTCTGCCCACAGTTCAGTGCAACATCTTTTATACGATCATTAGTTATTGTTTACAAGTCATTCATTCAACGTCCCACTTCTTCCACATATCTTGCCTTTCCAATTTTCCTCTTATTATTTCTTGTTCTGTAAATCTTGCACACAGCATGCACTATTACTTTCTCATATCTTGTCCTCCCAGGAATGATCTGCTTATCCATGCGTTTTGATTGAAGTCACTTCTGTGTAGAGCCGTCCTCAAGATTCATCTTCACCATAAAAAATGAAGTTACTTGCAATGTTTTTTTTTATAAATATATGAAATGTTCTAAACTATCAGCTTACTGTTAATCCCTGACATGAATTTTTACATGGTTTTATTTTTTAATTCTTTAACCCCTTTTACAGAAAAAGGGTTTCATTGACACCCTTTTATATACATATATATATGCATTTACTTATTTATTTTTATTCAAATAATATGTTTTCTCGTAACCCTATATCTCAGCTTCACGATAAGTCACAGATGATCTCAGGCGTCAGAGATCAAAGTCTGAGATTCATCCTTATTTTTCTCGGAGGTTATTATTACCAGCCAGGAACATATTATTTCCAAATTTAAGTATAAATCGACTCCACATAATATTTTTTAGTTAATTATCTTCCCTGTGTGTCCAGGATTCCAGGTTTGCCATTCCCTGGGAGGAGGAACCGGGTCAGGAATGGGAACCCTGCTGATCTCGAAGATCAGGGAGGAGTACCCAGACCGGATGATGCTGACATTCTCAGTCTTCCCTTCCCCCAAGGTCTCTGACACTGTTGTGGAGCCCTACAACGCCACTCTCTCAGTTCACCAGCTCGTGGAGAACGCCGATGAATGTGTGGTCCTTGACAACGAAGCTCTCTACGACATCTGCTTCCGCACCCTCAAGCTTGCCACGCCCACCTGTGAGTCCATCATTCCTTCTTCCCTCTGGTTCCTCTCTCCTTTTACTGGGTCATACCGTTGACTTTTCATCAGTCATCTCTAAGCAATCAACAGTTGACTTTTGTCGTCCTGAAACCATTGGGTTCGTCGTTATTAGTAATGTTATACTACCTATGTGTACCATTGGGTTCATCGTCTTTTGATCATCATTATTTAAACCCCCGCCAGAATACATGGTCAACGCATAGATATATTGATATATGATCTTAGAGTTTTCTCCCAAGATGTGCGAATTCTTTCCTTTTTTGGGATTGACATCTTCCCTGAAATCCAGTTGGCGACCTGAACCACCTCATCTCGGCCACCATGAGCGGCATCACCTGCTGCTTGCGCTTCCCCGGGCAACTCAACTCGGACCTGAGGAAGCTCGCCGTGAACCTGATTCCCTTCCCCCGGCTGCACTTCTTCATGGTGGGCTTTGCCCCGTTGACCTCCAGGGGATCCCAGCAGTACCGGGCGTTGACTGTGCCGGAGCTGACCCAGCAGATGTGGGACGCCAAGAACATGATGTGCGCCGCCGACCCCCGCCACGGCCGCTACCTCACCGCCTCTGCCATGTTCAGGGGCCAGATGAGCACCAAGGAGGTGGACGAGCAGATGATCAACGTGCAGAACAAGAATTCCTCCTACTTTGTGGAATGGATCCCCAACAATGTCAAATCCAGTGTCTGTGACATCCCACCCAGGGGCCTGAAGATGGCGGCGACCTTCATCGGCAACTCCACCTCCATCCAGGAGATGTTCCGGCGGGTCAGCGAGCAGTTCACCGCCATGTACCGCCGCAAGGCCTTCCTCCACTGGTACACCAGCGAGGGCATGGACGAGATGGAGTTCACCGAGGCAGAGAGCAACATGAACGACCTCGTCGCCGAGTACCAGCAGTACCAGGACGCCACCGCCGACGAAGAGTATGAGGAAGAAGAAGAGGAGGATGTGGTGGAAGCCTGAGGACCCCTTTCTCTCTCTCCCTCTCTCTCTCTCTCTCTCCAGTTCACCACCATTCGTTCTCCATGCAGTTTCTGTGAGCAGGTTGACTTCTTGGTCTGTGTGTGCGGTCTGTGCTGCCTCTGGTTCTGTTGTTCACCTCGTTGTTGCTGTGCTTCATATGGTGTCCTGTATTATGTCGCCTTTGGGAAGAAGATGTTCGCTCATTTAGCTCTAAATGGTGTGATTGGTATCCATTTGTGGGATTTTACCAGATTAATTGTAATATTGGGCATATCTTCCCAAGGTTTGACATACTAATAAATCTCCATTTTGACGAGCCATATCCCATGATTTAATTTATATATCATATGAAAAACTAAGTAGATTATATGAAAATTGATAAAATGTTTTAGGTCAACTGTGGACCAAGAAATTCAGAACCGAGTCAACAGATGATGTGGCATAGAATCAAATAGTGCAGTTTAAGCGATCAGGGGAAATGTTGGGTCACATTATATTGATCACAACGTTCATTTCAGGCTATTGCTTTCATTTTCTCCACTTCTAGAAAGCCTCTTATTTGATCTTTTTGGGAGGTTCAGAAAAATATATATTTAAATAGAGAAGCACGGATTTCTTTAATCGAAAAATAATTACTTTTATCTCTTCCTCCCACACCATCAATGAGTGTCACCTATTGGAAGATAGCTGAAGAGAACATACTAGTGTTCTAGGTTACTAAAAATAGAAAATAATTTATTATTTGACCATGGGTGGTGTGACATTCATGCCCAAGTTGACGAGTTGGCATTTGCATACTAATAAAGGGAAAAATATGAGCGGCCACACCTACGAGATTAATTACGACTAAAAAGTTGACACTCACAAAATTACAATGAGAGTGTTTAAATATACCATGCAATGTAATTGAAAAGACTAATAAATATTCTAAGCTACCACTTAAGATGTAAAGTAATAATTTAAAAAAAACCTTAGAAAAGAAAACATATATCTAAGCCACCATTGATGATGTTAAATTGCATATTGAGACCTAAGAGGCCATTCGATGGCCTGAAAGAATATTGCAAATTTTTATATGGTCAACTTTTTAGTTGAATCTTTTCTCCAATACAAAGTATTGCATTGCTAAATTGATTAACTCAAGAACATGGAATATTAATAAATTTTCGTATAGTTTATGCATATAAAAGTGAGTTCTAAATTTGAAAGAAGTCCACTACTTTTGTATTGATTCCTTTCTTTAGATGCACATCAAGCAACATGGTGATGAAGTTTTCATTTCATACACCAAACATAATTGAAATGTTGAATAAACTTGGCTTTAACAATCCAAAATCAAAGAAAACTTCATGGACGACATTTTTAATATATATTTTTTTAAAAAATAAGAAGGGCACAAAGCAGAATAATTAATATTATAATAGTGCTTTTATATTACATTCTACAGTGCATGTATGCGTGAAGAATTTTAATGAAAAAGATGTTCAAAATTTTATTAAAAATATAGAAACGGCACCATTTATTATTGGAAGAATTATGAATTGAATTGACATATAATTTCATCAAGATAACGACACTAATTGGTCACACTGAATGGTCGGAGGTGCCTCCAGACAAAGTGCTAGAGAAACTCCATGTAGATGACACTTTTGATCCAGATGTTACTTGGTACCATTCATTCAATGAGAAAGAAGTGATGCGGGGCAAGGCTTTTTAAATGAATTTTCATATAACTACCTCTACTCAGGCATTATTTCATCTATACCCTTCTTCAACCAATAAAGGAGAATGAAATGGAGAAATACTTTATGAAACTTGTAAGCTTACCATCCCGTTGAACGTCGGATCAAATAATTATCTGCTGACTCAGGTCATGATCGCAATTTCAGGTAATTCAGGGGGTTTTTGCGTAGAGCCGCTGTCCTGAGGTGTGTAAGGCCCCTCAAACCCACATGGACCTCGTGACGATGGCCCGGGATATTCTGACATCCCCATGGGATGTACATATCTAAATATATACTTTATTGAGGTCAAATACGTAAAAGTGCATGGTGCCTCAACGGCTCTGGCCGGTTGGCCCGGACACCACTGAACCCAAGAGATAGAGATAGAGAGAGAGAGAGAGCTTATGCCACGTGGCTTTATCATGAGACGTTCATGTGAGAGGATATTTAGGACCCGTTTTGGCGGATGCACTCTATTGAAAACTATAATAATATCAGAGATTATTTTAATAATATATTGGTATCATTAACTAGGATGTGATCCTAGCCTTCAAATCCCCCCCGTTGGGATGGGTTCGGCCGTAGTGGAAACTGGGCCCACAAAGCCCATCAAGGAGAGAGAGAGAGAGAGAGAGGAATGAGAAGGGCAAGACATGACGTGGCTTGAACATAGGACGTTCACTTAATGAATTAATTTACTGAGAAATTTTAAATACTTTAATTTAATAAACATATGATGCCATCGTAGCCGTTCGTTCGATCCGCCAGGGGAGGATCAGCCAGCTGGCTCCGGATTAGCGAAGTGGGCCCCACATACCCACTAGGCGACAAGAGAGTCCTGAGGAGCATGGATGATTAGGCGTGTCTGTGGACTCCACCAACAACGCAGTCTGTATAGCCCGTGACCGTTGGTGACCGTGGAGAAAGTTCTCAAGAGGGAAACTTATCATGTTTTTTTAATCACACGAAATTCCAATACTTTCCTAAGTGGGCACATTTATTTTCATATGCTCCTCGATAACTGTCATCATATTTAGGGAATATTTTAATGAAACTATATTATTATTATTATTTCCTCTAAATTAGCATTTACGTCAGTGATGCGGCCATCATCATATAATTTAAGGGAAATCTACACGCTAACATGATTATTTTACATATTTTAATACAAAAAAATATAATTTTCGCCCCCATTATCAAAAGAATAAAAAATCAAGAACATTCAACACAAAATGTTTTTACTATTATTATTTTAGTAAAGAATAATTAAGTTCCCTATTTGAGGGGTTATTGAGAAGAATTAACATACATACTCTGTTTAATTATTTGAACTGAATAATCAGCCATTGAGCCTTTGTTAAATCATCCACTTTACCCCAAATTAAAAATATTTAAAATTTTATATAAATAATTAAATTAATGAGAACCACATTTTCATTGAAAAAACACCAATAAATTATTTAACATCATATGAGTGCACCAAGATCGGGTATTTTTGTTGATGTGATGTTTTGAATTGCTCATATTTTTGGAGACGTGAGATCGGCGTCTGTTAAAAATAATAAATAATACGCTCGATTGAGGAATCTGGGCTGACTGTTAGACATGAGGCGGTGAGTTTACTGCCGGTGTGGGCATCCACGTGACTATGTGGGTCCCACGCGGATCAAGAAAACGTCGCGGAAGTTGACGGCCAACGATCGCCCGGCTCTCCGCTCACATGGAATTTAACAATAAAATATATTAATTCCATACTATGTATTTTATTATTTCTATAATTTTTTTGCGGTAATTCCCAGGCCAGACTATTAATACTCGTGAGGCCGTTATATATTGACGCCTCTTTCGCTTCTCTTTCTCTCTCTCTCTCTCTCTCTCTCTCTCTCTCTCTCTATCTCTTCACCGTACCTCGCCTCCTGAGCGCGGGCTCTGGCTCCGGAGGAGGTGAAGGGAGGCGGAGGAGAGCCAGCGGAGGCGAAGAGACGAGCGGGAGCAGCGCAGGAGGTGCGGCATTCTCAGGTTTGCGACCGAGCTTCTTCCGTTTCCGTTTCGTCCCCGTTCTGCGGAGATTTCGCCGGTCCGCGAGGTGGCGCGCAGATCTGCGTCCTGAGGAAGGTCGATTCGGCGGATTTGGTCGACGTGGCGTCGTCCGCTTGAGGATTTCAGAGTGGTTTTGGCGCCGCGGAGCCGACATTGCGGTTTTTCGGGCGGACGTCATCGGAGTCCATGCGATCTGTTCGTCGCTAATCTGCTTTTTTTTATATTATTATTATTTTAAAGATGATTGATGTGGATGTGGCTCTTGGAGTGATTTTACGCATTCTGCTGCTATGCGGATGGATTCGAAGTTTTTTCTGGTTGATTTAATTGAATTTCGTCTGAAACCTTGTCGACTATAGAAGTAGAATTTCTAGAGGACCTTGTTCCATTGTGATCCTCGGCTACATTCTGCTAAGGCGATCTCTCGTTTCTGTCACCCGTTTCCGCCACACGGACTCGTCTCTCCTTCACTTCTCCTTCGCTTCGTTTCAAGCCCTAAGTTTCCTAAAATAGAACCAATGCGTTTGTTATACTGCATCATGCCGTACTAGTTCATCGGAAAATAGAACCGGTGCGTCAGAAAAGGAAGCCGGAATCCAGTTCTCGGGCATCATGTTCTCATTGTGCTCCAACAATCGTGGAGGGGATGTATTATTCTGCAGATCAGAAACGTAGACCCTACTTTCTCTCTCTTAATCTGGCTCTCTCTCTCTCTCTCTATTCGATTAATCTGCCTCTCTCTGCATTATTCTGTTTTCGGGTTGTCAATTGGAATATCCATACATCCACAGACTTTGTGATTCGTTTCCCAGAGAAAAAGCCGATTTTGCCATAACAAATCATGATCATTATCATTCTCTGAATCATCGTCCTTGCACCAACTCGGTGGTTTTCATTGCCGTGTTTTCATTGCCGTGTTCTCCTTGCTCGTGTATGAAACCAGGTGATGCGATGGTTGCGCAGGGCTACATCGTCGATCTAAAGAAGCCGCTCGTCTTCCAGGTTAGCTTGGTGAATATAATTTAATTAAACTACCTCGTCTTGCAGAAAAATCTGACTGAAATCTTCTACCAGGTCGGCCATCTCGGGGAAGCCTACCAGGAATGGGTTCACCAGCCCATCGTCAGCAAGGAAGGCCCTCGCTTCTTCCAGAGCGATTTCTGGGAGGTACTCCTCTATGCTCCCACAGATTCCGAACTCATCTTTGTATCTCCAGAGAGAGAGAGAGAGAGGAATCTGACTGGATGGAGTGGGTGCAGTTCTTGACGAGGACGGTGTGGTGGGCGGTTCCGACGATCTGGCTCCCAGTGGTGTGCTGGTCTGTGTCGAGGTCAATGGCGATGGGCCACACAGCAGCGGAGATAGCGGCCATGGTGGTCTTCGGGATATTCATCTGGACCCTGATGGAGTACACTCTACACCGCTTCCTCTTCCACATTAAGACGAAGACCTACTGGTGGGGCAGCTACCCGACTTTCTCTCTCTCTCATCAGTTGACCTTTTTCCTCTGAGCTCTCTCTCTCATCAGTTTCTCGCTCCTCCTGCGCAGGGCGAACACAGCGCACTACCTGCTCCACGGGTGCCACCACAAGCACCCCATGGACGGGCTGCGGCTCGTCTTCCCCCCTGCCGCCACCGCCATTCTCTGCGTCCCGGTACGCCTTAAAAGTCAACGGTAGTGAGACGGATCCTTCCTTCTCCACCTAGATCCATGATTATTGTTGTTGTTTCAGTTCTTCAACATCATCAAAGTCTTCGCCACGCCTTCGACTACTCCCGCCCTCTTTGGAGGCGGGCTGCTGGGTTATGTGCTCTACGACTGCACTCACTACTACCTGCATCACGGTCAACCATCTAAGGATCCAGCGCGCAACCTCAAGGTTTCTTTATTTTTTCCCCCTCACCGGGTCAGCTATTTCTGACTCATCGAATACCATACGAATTCAATCAATGATGAGTCAAAGTTTGGTGTTTGTTGAACAGCGGTATCATCTGAACCATCACTTCAGGATCCAAGACAAGGGCTTCGGGATCACCTCCTCGCTGTGGGACAGGGTTTTCGGGACGCTCCCCCCCGCCAAGGAATCCTTACGGAAAAGATGATCCATCTCATTCATCAGAGTTCTGCCCATCTCTCTCTTCTCTCTCTCTCTCTCTCTGTATTTCTGTCGTTGTGTAATATCATGGACATTATTTGGGTGCAGGTCAGTTCGGTTCCTTGGTGTTTCAGCCTCCTCAGATCTATCAACCACTAACTAACTAATGTGTGAGAAGCTAAACAAAGATTAAATATACATGTCCATGGCCAGTCCTGAAAAAGAAACAATCTCTCTCTCTCTCTCTCTCTCTCTCTCTCTCTCTATATATATATATATATATATATATATATATATATATATTTCCTCAATCCACCTTAACCACTGATTCCGTCAAGAGATTAATTAAAGCATTCAGGGGGTAATAATTAATGCGTAAGAAAAACTTGAAGAGAGAAATATTGAAGAATTACTGAAATGAATGTTGGGATCTATGGGCAATCCAAAAATAACTCCATATATTCGTAAAATGCAGAAGTCGGTGATTCCCAAACGGCTGTGAAGGCGTATTCATGTATTCGTCTGGCCAAATCAAGGGGCAGACCTTTTCAAGGGCCGGGGGGGGGAGGGGGGGGGGTCATACCTTGGGGGGTCGCTTCCTCATCGTCCAGAAGGCTGCGAAGTATTTATTCTGCAGGTTTAACAGGTCATGCCGGTCAAAGGTCAAACACAGGACCCACCTCCCACATGGGTGGAGAATGGAAGAAATCAGAAGCTATATACAGATGCGGAAATATTGGGTGCATTTCCACATGAGTTCTCAAACATATCTCACCCTATTTATGGATGAAACCGTATGAGTCTATGCACGTGTAGGTATTAATAGTCTTTCCTCAACAGGAAAATTGATTTCATATATAAAATGAATGCATTTTTTTCTTTCCAAAATTATTCTTGGAATGTATAGAAATATAGAGAAGATAGAACCTTGTTTAGTGAGATCAGAAACATTCCTGCATGCTCGCAGAGGACCAAAAGTAGAGAGGAAAGGGCAAAGTCGGAATTTTCAAGAACTACAGGGTTTAATTGGAGGAGAATTGAGCTTACTTGCATCATGGACCGACGATTTATGGAGTAAGTGGTCTCCACTGTTCGCTCCATCTTATCAAAAGAGCCAAAAAATAAGCACTTTGGGTTCCTTCTGAAAATTACCAGAAAAAGAAAAGAAAATTCTCCTGCTGCACGTACCTCTAAGTCAAACCCATAATGAAAAGAAATCCTCTTCACGTCATCCAAGCTGAGTTCAACGGACATCTCCTGCGGATGGGAAGGAGGGAAAATGGATCTCATTTAATAGACCAAATGAAAAAAAAAAGAAAAAGGAAGGGGGGAGGGGGTGGGGGGTGGGGGGTTTCGGAACACTTACATCGGGCCCATATTGATCTGCAAAATGATAGAGAAGGGGCCCAAAGTTGATCCAGATCTGCTGACCACGAGAAACAGGAAAACTGATCGTTCATAATGAGCAGAGAGGAACATGCGGTTTCATACTAGTTCAAACAATCTTGATCCATACTAGTTCAGCGAGCGAGAGAGAGAGAGAGAAACAGAGACAGAGACAGAGACAGAGAGCGAGAGAGAGAGAGAGAGAGAGAGAGAGAGAGAGAGAGAGAGAGAGAGAGAGAGAGAGAGAGAGAGAGAGAGAGAGAGAGAGAGATAGAAAGAGAGTGAGAGAGCGAGAGAGACAAGGAGGGGGGAGAGAGAGAGAGAGAGAGAGAGAGAGAGAGAGAGAGAGAGAGAGAGAGGAAGGAGGGAGATAGAGGGAGAGAGAGAGGGAAGGAGGGAGGGAGAAATAGAGAGAGAGAGAGAGAGAGAGAGAGAGAGAGGGAGGGAGAGAGAGAGGAGGGAGGGAGGGAGGGAGGGAGAAAGAGAGAGGGAGGGAGGAGGAGAAAAGAGAGAGGAGGGAGATAGAGGGAGATAGAGAGGGATGGAGGGAGGAGAAAGAGAGAGAGAGAGAGAGAGAGGGAGGGAGGGAGGAGGGAGAAAGAGAGAGAGAGAGAGAGAGAGAGGAGGGAGGGGAGGGAGGGAGGGAGAAAGAGAGAGAGAGAGAGAGAGAGAGGGAGGGAGGGAGGGAGGGAGGGAGAAAGAGAGAGAGAGAGAGAGAGAGGGAGGGAGGGAGGGAGGGAGGGAGAGAGAGAGAGAGAGAGAGAGAGAGAGAGAGAGAGAGAGAGAGAGAGAGAGAGAGAGAGAGAGAGAGAAAGAGACATAGAAAGAGAGTGAGAGAGAGAGAGCGAGAGAGAAAGAGAGAGAGAGAGAAATGATTCTGAGGTGGTGTGAGCACACGATTCATATTGATATTACAGGAAGCCAGGGTTGAAACCTACCCCTCCGGGCTTCAGGATTTTTGATATGATTTCGATGTACTCCACAACATTATGGGCCGTGTCAATGAAGAAGCAAGTCACCACAGCATCCCAGGTCCCTGCGGTGGGGAGATCAGAAGATCAATGTTATCCGTAGAAAAAGCATCTCGATCCCTGAAAGATCGTCCAAACAATCTGGAAACGAGAAAATTGAGTGAAGAGGGAACATGGTGATGTTGAAAAGAAAACAATGAATCTGATACGGTACCCCCTAAAGACAAATGTTTGTCAGAAAAGAACAGTCTAGAAACTTCTATAGTAAACACTGGGATAGGAACAGGCTGAACAATATAAATACCGTCATCTGTGAATAAGAGAGGGATCGTATCAGAATCTTTCCTTGTCAGATAAATGATGTGCGGCCAATAACAATAACAAAGCATGGTTAATTATTTGCATATCATAGTTTTGTAGCTTTGGTGAACCATACTATGACTCAACATACTAATACGAATTTAATTACTTCTACTATGAGAAAAGCTCCCTCAATAAAAAAAAAGAAAAAAAAAACTCAAGATCTTCACATTGGTTATCATTTTAAGTTTTGTCCATAGTGTTATGCAGAACAAGTTTTGCTATATTAGGCTTTCCTTTTATTTTTCTTTTTGATATTATTAGATGTACTTCCTTTTTCATGTTTCTGTTATTAGACCTTTTCGTAATACCGAAAAGATTTATTAGACGCCAATATAAATACTGGTGTACTGCCTTGAGAAGGGTTAAGTCAGTTTTCCCTCTCCAGCTTCTGTTATATCTCGTAACAGGGTATCAGAGCTTTCTCTTTAATCCTACGTGAAGACTGCCGACAGAAGATCAACCAACCTTGGTGGCGACAATGACTCCACGCTGTAGGGAGTGTCACCTGGTGATCTTCTTCATGTCTGCAGTATCTAAACTCGTGAGTTTCTTGGTTGTAAGTAGACCAGCAAATTCCTTAGAGAGTCACTACACCATCGTCATTTCTTGACGGTGGGGGACATCTACAGATACACCATCGTCAATTCTTGACAGTGGCAGGACGTCTATGAATACATTGTCGTCATTTCTTGATGGCGGTGGATATCTGTGAATACACCATTGTCATTTCTTGATAGTGGCAGTTATCCTCAATTTCTTGAACAGAAACTGTTATTCGGACCACATCATGGAATCTCTGTTTGAGATTTTTTTTGGTTATCTAGTCACGGCTGAAGAACATGGAGACAAAGGTCAGTGAATCTTCCTCCTCTGGCCTAAGACATTCATTGGAAGTAATTAAGGTATGTTCAGATCTACCTAAAATTGCTGAGAGATTCTAATTTGACGGAATCAATTTGTTCCAATGGACATCATATCTGGAACTTATTCTACGAAGGAGGAATCTAGATTGTCACCTGATGCAATCTTTGCCAAGTATTATCAACCCAAGATATTCTTGATGAAAAGAAGAAGAAGAATTGATTCAACATTGGATGCTAGACAATATTTCACCAAAGATAAGTGATAGATTTCTTTTTTTGATATCTGTGAAGGAACTATGGGACAAAGTTCGTCATGTTCACTCTACTAAACATGACAAATCCCAAATTTCTAGATTAATACAGAAATCTCTGACTTTAGTACATAAAACATTGCCTGTTTTGAAATATGTTTGCAAATTAGAATCCATATAGAGAGAAATCAACCACTAAAGACCAATCAAGAACCTTGATACTGAAGAACGAAATTATATTATGAAAGACAGGCTGTATAAATTTCTGATGGGGTTAAATCTAGAACATGAGACTCTAGTAAATCAGATCCTTGCTCAGGAAGTAGTACTAAATATTGAAGAGGCAATTGCATTAACCAGATAAAAAGAAAATACTAGAAATTTGAGAAATGATTTAAAGATAGAAAATGCTGCATTCAATGTTCTCAAGGGTAAAGATACTGGTATTCAAAAAGGGGGATAGTAAAGTACCATTCATTAAAAGAGATCCTAAGACTGATCTGAAGGGATGCCTATTTTTTACACTTATTGTAGAAAAAATCGTCACACTAGGGAGGCATGCTGGAAGATCCATGGCAAACCACTAAATTATGGTAAGTTGCATTTAGCTAATGCTCAAAATGAAGATGGTGTTGAGCCCATGATACAAAGAGGAGCTAGTCAAGACGGATCTACTTCCTCTCAGCCTTCAACGATTGGAAAGCTCAGATAAAAAATTGAACAATTGAGGAGCATGATCAACTCCACTTCCCTTGCACATGTAAGCATTTTCCTAAACGTTTTTCATTATGCTTAAATACCTCATCATTGGCATCACCTTCACCCTAAAAAGTGTCACAGATCATTGATTTTGGAGTTACTGATCATATGACACCATATGCATCACAGTTCATAACATATTATGTACCAATAATCGAAAGGTTATTACTACAAGTGGGGATTTGTTACCCATAACTAGCATTAGATCAATTCATCTTGAGAAATTGGGGTCATTAAGATATGTTCTTCATGTTCCAAGATTGAATGCACATCTATTGTCATTGAGAAAATTGGGTAAAGACTTGAATTGTCTGATATTATTTGACAATCATTTCTGTTTCTTCTACGACAAGACCTCGGGCAAGAGGATTGGGCATGTTAGAGCACGAGATGAACTCTGCTACACAAGGCGTATGGACAAGACATTGTTGACGAATTTCAATCCAAACATTTTCACTTTTTGTTTCTGCTTCTCCCTTGAACAAATTGTTGTTGTTGTATTGTCGTTTAGGACATCTGTCCATAAAAGTACTTCGATACTTGTTTTCAAAATTATGTTGTGCAATTGGTGAATCTACTTTCATATGTGAACTCTGTCAAGTGGCTAAGTAGCATTTCCCTCTGCTGGAAATAAAAGTGAATCCTCTTTTTACATAGTACATTCTGATATATGAGGTCCTTCTTCATCTAGTGGTGTTAGGGACTTCAGATGGTTTATCATCTTTGTAGATGACTATACTAGGTTCACATAGATTTACCTAATGAAAACAAAATCAGAAGCTAGTAGTGTCATTCAGAGGTTTATCAAGCTAATTCAAAATCAGTTCAGTATAACTCCTAAGAAATTCCGATCAAATAATGCTAAGGATTTTTTCAATTCTATTGTCTCCAATTTCTTTGGTGAGGAGGGCATTGTTCATAAATCTTCTTGCCCCTGTACACCCCAGCAAAATGTGGTAGCTGAAAGAAAGATTGAACAACTGCTGAAAATAACAAGGGTTGTCATGTTTAAAGCCCAAGTGCCGAAGCACTTATGGAGGTTCGATTACCTTGTTCTATGACAATCAGTCTACAATAAGTGTTGCACATGATCCTATTCAACATAACAAGACCAAACGCATTGAAGTAGATAGACATTTCATTAAAGAGAAACTTGAATCAGGGATGTTTTGCACAGAGTATGTCTCATCTACAAATCAGTTGGTTGATATATTAATTAAGGGCATTTCTGCAACAAAGTTCTGCAATCAAAGGAGCAAGCTGGGCATGCATGATATCCACGCATCAGCTTGAGGGGGAGTGTTACGCAGGACAAATTTTGTTATATTAGGCTTTCCTTCTATTATTGGATGTACTTCCTTTTTTGTGTTTCTATTATTAGGCCTTTCCGTAATACTGAAAAGGTTTATTAGACGCCAATATAAATACTGGTGTATTGCCCTGAGAAGGGCTAAGTCAGTTTTCCCTTTCGTGCTTCCATTGTATCTCGTAACACATGGGTTTCCTCTGATCCTCAGTGAAGGACCTATCTGATGCAATCTGGGCTCCCAAGAGTCACAGTGCCATACTGGTCTGGACAACATTCAATATCTCCTTGAAAGCCCTAATCCTTTTAATATTTGCTTTAATTATATCAGGCATTCACATGCTTTATTTATAGGACGCAAAAATTCACACTTTTAGTGCCTTTTTATAGCAGCAGTTAAAAGTAGTAATCCCCACTTCTACAGAAATGAGTAGTAAGTAGTATTATGATTTAATGATAATAATTAACGCAAATTGCAACCATTTTGCATACCAATCGTTAGTCATTTTATGTACCTTCTTGGCTGACATCACTGTATACTTCAACAAAATCACCACCACACATTGAAAAGCCTTCAGTAATGCCTGCACTGTTTGTAGGATCCAATCAGCCACGATGAATGAGTAAGAAGGTTCGAATATTTACAACAATAAAAGAGCTCAAATATACGACCCTCTTTGGAAGGATCGGATCAGAACGAAGCAGTGTAGTGTTGATAGATGGCCAGAATCATGGTTGTATCGAACTGGAGAGAGGGACGAGAGAAGTGGGGGTGGGGATGGGTTTTGAGAGAATCTCCTGCCATCAGAACGAAGCACTGTAGTGTTGATACAAGGCCAGAATCATGGTTCTATCGAACTGGAGAGGGACGAGAGAAGTGGGGGGTGGGGATGGGATTTGAGAGGATCTCCTGCCTCTCCAGGTTCAGACTGTTCTCTCTTATCCTGTTTCTCCGAGTCTATGAAAGTCTCCCTCTTCTGTCTTCTACATGTTATTAATGGCTGGATTTGGTGATTGCTGACTTTCGTAGGTCATCAAGTCCAAGTTATTTATGACTATTTTGGTGGTTTCTAGAGGTATTTAGGGGCTATTGAATACTATAAGATACCCCAACTACTCTCACTACTTTTAGCCCATTAATTATGGGAGGTGATGGGACCTCTAGGCTGGATGTAAGAGCAACCCTTCGAATGCCTCATGTTGTGCGCCTATAAATAGTAGGCTAAACTTGATCTCAGAAAATCAAACTCCAAGAGCATCGTGAAGGCCCTCCAGGGAGAAACTGGGTCCGTATAGAATGAACTTGGGCCGTGTGGGGATCTCTACATGCTCCGAGAAGAGCATAGATAGTGGGCTTTTCACTCCAAGATCGTCAGTCACAATCCTTCAGCCGCATGTTCAAGGTATAATCATTCTCAATCCTTATCTTTATCATAAACGGTCAACCTGCTCAGAGGAAGTTTCCATACTTCCCACAATCAAAGTCCGGTTTTCAAGGCAACAAAACTTTACTGTGACCAATCAAAGAGGATATGCATTTAGTTGGTCAACCTACGCTCAAATTGGCATTTGGTGATTGCTATTAATATCAGTCACGTGCATGGCATGCCCCCCCCCGTCAGTATGACATCAATGATAGCAAATAGCAACATGATGTAACCGAATGGCATGAACTTGGTAGTGTAACAACTGGACCTTTGACCATAAAAAATACAGATAAGAAATGTGCTCAGTGCCTCAAATTTTGACCGTCACAAATTTGTCAACAAATCAGATTACAAGACACTTCACCTATTTATCCAATTACTGCCGAATATATCAAATCAGATAAATGAAGAGTGAGATTGCATCTGATCAGGAGAAGAAGGAAGACTAGAGATGAAAAGCACATTCTAACATACATAAGCATATCACCTTGCTGGATGAATATCTGGAAACATGGCTGGCCGAAGCTGGTCATCGTCAGAGAGAACGTTACAATTGTTATGAATCCAGGGATAGATTGTCCACTCTCCGGCAGCTTGAGTGCTACACAATAAGATACAAGGTACAAGAAATCAAGGAAATATAGACAATGGAGAATGAAATATAGACAGAAAGTTTCGGCTCTCTTACTGATTGAGAATGAAACTTGAGCAGATCATCATATAATATGAAAATTCATTTCCTTGGCAGAGAAATCCTGTAAAGCACAATGGAGAGTCAAATGATATGGGAGAAGTGGAGAGGGGGAAAGGAGCTAGAAGCGGTTAAGAGTTACTGAATATTGTTTTTACCAAGACAAGAAATCTCCAGTGCAAGCCTGCCAAGTCCAGCTCCGGGAACTAGACAATGAGGAGGCCTGTGAATAAAAAAAGGGGTAAGCAGCTGTTTCCCTCATATAATGAGGATAATAAGAGTATTATTTTCAGTTCCACAAAATATTTGCATCAATTCACCAAGGAATAAGCATCATGACAATCAACTTGTGACGAGTGAGATGGGTCAACCGGTCATTAAAATCCTCTAAAATGCTAAGGAAAACGGTTAACTGGTTGCTCCCCATGGATGAGATGAAGTTTACAATAATGGATGAGGTAATTTTTGTTCTCTTTTTCAATTGGGTCAGTCTTCGACAGTTTCTCCTAAGCAGCCTCATCTCAATGAAAACTGTAAACAGCAAGTGTGCAATGACCCTCGAAATCACAAGCTTCACAAAGGAAAAATAACAAGGGCTGAAGAGGTAAACGAAGGAATCATACAGAACCAAGAGATTCTCTCCACTTCTGATGAGATGAAAGCATGAAAATTACTCTTCTTATCAAACAATAATGATATGTAAAAGCAAAGTCAGGGAATAGACAATCCAGTTGCAGTGCAACATTTAAATTCTTACCATTCTCTAAGCAGGATATATCATTAACTAATGCAAAAGTGTATCTACTACATGTAAAGACTCATATTTTAAGGTATTTAAAGCGATTTGTAATGAAAAATCAACATCCTCTTTTATGTATTTAACCCATTAATTCCCCTATCTGGAACAATGCACACTGATTTCTAATGACAGAGTTATTCACTACATATGAGTGACACTAGGAAAAAAAGTGTTACCTATCTGTGCTTCGAACAGGGAATAAGCGCTGCAACTCCTCAAGAATTGGCTTGTAGCATTCGTCACGCTCGTTTTTACCCTATGGGAAATTCGGCAGAGAGAAATACGGAAATAATCCAAATAAGATAAAGGGAGAGGATTTTATTGGATCAACTGCCCCGTAGAATTTATCAAAATTAGCGAATACCTCAATAGCCCAATCTCTCACTATATTTCGGATGATACATCGTACCTAGTGCTCAAAAGAAAAAAAAGATATATGTAAGATACGGATATGTGCTTCTAAACTCTTAAATATATTTCTGAAAAATATTAAACCACTGTTTTCTATTAGAATGAATAAGGTAAGAAGTGAAATCGCCGTATACAGTAGTTTATAAAATTGTCCACAAACAAGGAAATATTGGTCCAACCTCTTTCATCCAAAACCTGACCAATGAATTACTCCGGATCATCAAATATAAATTTCTTAATTAAATTCCTATACGTGGATGTCTCCACTGATCTCTCCAATCTCAGATCATAATTGGAAGCAAGGAGAGAACATGAAACTGAATAAAAGACGGCATCTTTGCACTCAAGAGCCTTAGAGCCCCGAATCCTGTGTCATGCTCTTTACCTTTCCCATCCAGCGCAGATTCATTGACTTCTCACCAGTAGAGATGAAAAATGCACTCCGTCCATAGTTGTTTGGCACTATGAAACAATATCATACATATAGTTCAACTCAAAGCCAGCCTTGAACTCATAGTCAACAATTGCAAACACAAATCAAAGCAAAAAAAAAAGGAATGAAAAAAAATAAAAAATAGAATTAAGTTATAAATTATATTTCAAGATGAAAATATCATAGACAATATTTGAAGGAAAAACGGATTTTGCATGAAATTGGAAACTCTATTTTAACACACTTAACTGCCCCTTGGAGGCTTGTTGAACACATTAAGCTAAAAAACCAATACAATAAATAGCATCAAGTCATATGGTGTAAAGAAGCATAACATAAATAAGATGATGTACCTTATCAACATCAACCAAAGGCACATTCAACGAAAGTGAAGAATCATTGCACATATTTGGAGAAGGGATCGCCTAGAAGACAGAAAAAGTATAAAGTGTCAAAAATATAGCAAGCTTAAGGACGTACATCAAACTGTGACCCGTGGTTGACTTTGGCCACCGAAAGTTTCAAAGCTACAAAGGCACAAGGAAAGGCATAGTACTTATGATCGTAAATGTCAACCTCAGAGAAAAAACAGTACCAGATATGTCACAAAAATCATATGACGATTCCACTAGAGGAAGCAAAAAAGCAACTACTTTGCCACTAATAGCCTCAAATCTAGGTTACATGAACAGATCACAAGAAAGATAATAGAAGTTTTCAGAAGGCAAAAAGAATATAACCCAAAAATCTAGGTCAATCAAAATTATCCTACATGATTCATCCAATGATTAACTCACTGAAGCATGAATTTTCATGCCGCATCTAAAACTTGCAATGAGAATTCTGAACGGGTTACTTGTATGACATCAGATAAAACGCGAGTAGGCACATTTTTCCAAAACTTAAATTTTCATCTCCTATTGCATCAATGCAATGCCCAGCTATATTGTCAATCTGAACAGTGAAACCAACGGACAAGTGATTGTACTAGATGCTGAGAAGACATGGTCTTATCCATAAAAGGTTCCAGAGAATTTTTCATCCATTATCAAAGAAAAACATCTTATTGAAATTAAAGTGAATTCATAGAACCCATTTATAATCCTTTACCATATTGTTCATAACAAATACTATGACCTGCTCTATGGAATATTTTATAAGTTCCAATGACCTCAGTTAACAACCTCACTATGGTCATCTATGTTATTAGAGCTACCAGCCATCCTGTAGCTTTCCACAAAAGTTGACTGCTCCTTTCCAGAGACAGAGTTGCATTCCCTGGTTGACCACTGGACAGATTGAATATTCTTCTCAACCTCAGATGTTATTTCCAAGGTATCATCTCTATTTACGTTTTCTCTATTTTCAGGCTCATCAAAATCGATATCCTGGCTCATGTCCACGGGTGGATCAAATGCCTGCAAAAAATAAATCAACAAATTACCGTCATTCCATGTTACAGAGGGTAAATCAAGTAAGAAAACGTAGTGCCAACTCAGAAACTGACAAGTGAAGGATGATCACCTGTATCATATTGATGATGAAATAGCCATTGATAGATATACACCTGCAAAATGATGCCACAGAAGTCACCAAATGGTTATAAATGACATTGCATGGCATATAACTCTGCATAAAATAAATTGCACAACTTCTAAGGAGCAACCAACGAGAAGATGAAGAAAGGGGAACCTAAGTACCATATTATGCGATCATATAGCACAGAGATGTAATGGAAACAGAAGCAGAAGGAAGAGAAGGAAGCAGAGTCATGGAAGAACCGTATGATCCTATCATATGGCTCATAGACGTAATGGAAACAGAAGCCGAAGGTATCTAGGATGAAGTTTCTTAAAAAACTACCCAGCTATTTATTTTTCATAATCCCACTCGTGCAAATATAACAACTTCCGAGAAAGAGCTCCCTCCCCAAAGCTCACTATGCCTAAAGCACATATATGGCACTTGTAAAATACTTGAGAATGTCAAAAAGTGCACAACAAACTTAGTACCAAACTACACACGATTTTACTCATAAAATCTTTCTATATGATCACATGAGTCATAATCATTAAGGGAGTTTTAGTACAATGTTTTCTCCGTGAGAATTATGAAATTTCATCATTTTTTTCAAGTCACGAGTTTGATTTCTCATCAGTTCCATGATTTCTTACTCCAGAAGTCCGATCAGTTTTTGCAGCATGAGTGTGTCACTACCTCCCTTGAGTTTAAAACAAAGGACACATATATCAGTTCGACATTCCCAAGTAACTTGTGTACTTAGGTGGCTCGTCCCACCATTCTTCTCTTGCAAGGCACTGGCACAGCTTCTAACGCCTCCCAAAAGACAGCCCATAACCCACCAAAGCAGTCCAGGCCACCAAACCTTCTCACTACACTCAACTATTTTCACCTCCAAAATCCTTTGGATCACTAAATCCTCCTTGTAAGCCCGCCTGCTAAGCTCTCCGTTCTCTCATTGAATGCCAACGTTCATCAGCTCAGTTCCATACCCATATATTGCACTCCAATCCTCCAACAAAGTCATAGGCCCCATCCTTAATCTTATGCCCCCCCTTCATTGACTATCTATCTTCACAAGCAACTTATGTTCACCAAACGCCTACCAACATCAGGAGGACGCTGCCAGCAGTTTGCCAAAGTATTGTCTCTCACTCTCTTTTTTTTTCCCTTTCATCTACCTATCTCCTTACATTTCCCTTTCCCTGTCCCAATCTCCCTTCATTTAGCGACTAGAGATGTGTTCCAGCTGCTCAATGTTTAAAAATACGCCCACATAGTAGAGCCTAGAATCAGCCTGAAAGCATTATCTTGCATCACAAAAGGTTGTAAGGATCTGTTGTGAATGAAAAGACGCTTGCACTTCAAAGAAAGCGTTTTTGACCAAGATGCTCTAAAAACAACAGCTTGGTTCAGAAGTACATAAACTGAAGTAAACCTTAGATAAATAAAAGATAATTCCAAGCGAACTCATACTGCTCAGGAACCATCATTATGAGTTAATGTTTGAAACAAGATCACCTAGCACATAAATTTTTTAAAGATTTTTTGCTCTAAATACCTACCGGAAACTGCAAAAAGAGTATTATATGATGAAAAGAAAACCCAGAAAACAAGTACTGCAGCAGGAATCCTCACTCGAACGCAGAGGAATAATTATGTTCATCTTAAATGGTCAACAAATCACTATTTGTCATTAGAATAACTAAGAGAGAAAGAAAGACATAAATTCTCATCATTATTTCAAGGAGATTGGTGATGTCTAACAAATTAGTGAGTTAAAAAGTAGATCTACAGAATAAATTGATTTAAGTGGAGTGGAGGCGTGTCTAGAAGTCCATGCTTCCCTTAGGCACATGGTCGTCAGATGGTAAGACCACCAAACTAAAGTGATGCCACTTTAACAAAAAAAAATCATCCTACACCTGTGTCAATAGGACATCATAACAAAAGATGTCGTTCAACATATATTTTTTTTTTACTCTTGTCTAAGAACGTATACCAGCTCCACAGGAAACATGTCAAAATTGGAAAGATTACATGTCCTCTTCTCCTTTCCTAGAGAGGGGGTCAGTCTTCTAACAACTGTGTTTTATATAAAGATATCTCAACTCCAAGACCTAATCCAAAGCAATCATCACAATCAACCAGAAAATTAGAAGTCAATTCATTTGCCACAAAGAATAAATGCTTATGCATAATACTATTTGAAGAGGAAAAAAAAAAAGGCAAAGAACGAACACCAGAGCACTAAAATGTAAGAAGATTCTTCCAGTCTTCCTTGATATCTCAAGCTCAGTTTGCCCTCAAATGTACACAAGGATTACCTACCGCCTAAGTTTCTGAAATTTTGAAGGTAAATGAGAAAGAAGTGCCTGCAAAAGTACAAAAAATATATTACTATTGCAATACGATGTTATCCTTCATCTAAAATAATAAAATAAATTCCTACAGAATTCTTATACCCACAGCCACAACATGAATGATAAGTGGCAACTAACATACTAACATGTATTCCTTCACATAGACCTATTTTCCAACTAGTTGATCATTATAGGCACGAAAGTGGCACATAAATAAAACAGAAATTAAAAAATCCAAGAATCAAGATACCTTGTGTGAACATGAGAGCTTCTTAAAGGAACTTTCGTATCTTTTAACATCCGCCTCAGCAGCATCTGAATAACTGAAAAATATTAAAAAAAAAAACAGGGAATGTTTGAGGATCAACACATTCCCACTAAAATTTCACAACTGAATTAGCGTATAAATCAAAATTTTGGTACAATGGGCAAAAGGTAATTCCTATATTAAAACTATTCTAATGATTACATATTCTCACGCACATGATAAAAGGAAAAATGAAAAATAATACAACGTATGATATAAAATACAGTGACCAGGCAGGAAAATATCCTCAGTCTGAATTACTGACAAAATGCCAAATCAAATCAAATCAAATCAAATCAAATGAAGTTTCGGACATTGGGGATGACATACACAATTAAAAAAACATCTAAAAAGTTCAATCCTACGTAAAAATGAGAACACAAGAAAATGTGGCACGATACAAAATATGACTTTAGATATGCAAAAGCAACAATGGAGTGCCATTCCCTTTCCATAGAAGCTGGATTATAATTCATAAATGGCAAACAGGTGACAAGTATATAAGACCAGCTGATAGTAAATCCTCACTAAGAAATTATGAACAAATAATCTATTAGGATGATTTTCACCCGTGCAATTCATTTTTCCTCTTATGTGAGACTGATTGAACACTCCATTTTATTCCCTGAAGACTTGCTCACTGAAACCGACACTAGCGTTTTCTCATTCGTGAATAAGCACGCTTGCATGATACTGTAGTGCTAAATAAAGAGTCTAAAGTCCAGCAATTCAGCAATATGCTGATTTGTCCACTCACTGATAAATTACCAAACAAATAACCCTCGTACGATCTCCAAGTTGTAATCCTAAAGAAAACATCAAGATATAACTGCGTAAAGATAATGGAATGCAATCTTGGGACAGAAAATGGACAACCCAAAATCCGTCCTTTTCCCTTCATACTTATGGAAAAGGAGCGTCAGGAAAGACCATACCCATCTTCTTACATTCTGAGCGGATGGATGAAGAACGATGGTATCACTTCCTGGAGCAAGAACTGGGCCAACCAAACCCACAGCTGGTGGCCATCTCTGTGTAAAACTGAACCATTTTGGGTCAAAGGACGGGTTGATTGTATTGTATACTCAACAACCAGAAGCCAAACCCATTGCTACTAATTCACCAACTTCAGCTACAGCAGTACCATGTGCTTGCGCTCTGATAGCTTGGAACATGATCAAGCAGCCCACAACATCAGCTATGTAACTCGACCTCTCTGACCTTTAAATTCAATTTTTCTCCCAGGGTCAAGCAAGCTGCATGGACTAGAATGCTGGTAGGCCTCATCCTTTGGCTTCTCTCATCCGTTAATTCTTTATGGGATACATATAAGTAGATTTCGGAACTACTTGTAAGAATCTAGTCATTCATGGGCATCTATCTCCTCAATACCGTTAATATAAGAATCCATAATGCGTTCAGAGCACTATGATACAGCAACGTTCACATAAGAAAATCACCTATTCGGATGCTCATTCACTATGCCTTCTACGATGTGTCATTACCACCCGTACCGAATTTTTTTTCCTCTAAATCTGTTTTATCTTCAGTCAACTACGATCTATTTTGTTACTCAATAAAAAAAAACCATGACACGTACACTGGTCAGAGTGACGCTTTCGATTCAATATATTAAAGTACTAGTTACATAACAGTTCCTTACAATCAGCTCAAGACGACAATTCCTCCTACCAAGACATTAGTTTTGTTTGCATAAAGTTAACATATGTAGACGCCGAATGAGTGGAACCACGATCATAAACAAACACTTGCCTCCATTATGATACTCGCTTCATCTCCATTCCACATACACTACCCTATCGAAAAATTCTAACACGCCGACGGCCATCCCCTCCTCAACCATAACAACGACCAATTACCAAGGAGAAACAATTCCATACGTCAAATAACCACGACTCCATCCTCCTGGAGTAACAAGAACGAAGACTAACAGCAGCAGCGGTGGAACCACAACAAAGGAGTAAAGAGAGGGGAAATCGGGATGGAGGCAAGGAAAAGGTGGGGCAGGCCTCCGACTCACTTGAGGTACGCACTGATGATGCGGCGCAGGGATCTGATCTCCATGATTTCCTCCTCCTTGCTGTGGTGGCGGTCTTCCGCCTCATCGCCCATTGCTCGCTCCTCGCAGCAGCCACCAACTCTCGGAGGGATCGATCGCCACCTCCCTCCAACCGTCGCCCACTCTCTTCACACAGCCTTCGCCTCTGCCAAGTAATATAAAGGGAGCAAGAGGGCCATATCTATTTTATGATAATTATTTTCACCTAAAACTCACGCAGTAATAATACCTGTTTTCTCAGATGATAAGAATAATAATAATTTTTAAATGCGCTGATATATTTTAATAATTACATAATTCTAAAAAAGGTGTGAAAATTACCCCTATTTAAGAGGGAGAGAGAGAGAGAGAGAGAGAGAAAGGGAGATGTCTGTGCCAATGTGTTTGAAAGAGACCTTTGACTTTTGGTCTCAAGCAAATTAACGAGGCCATTTTTTTTTATTGTTCGGCGCCTTAATTTTGCTGAAGAAAGCGCAAATCACGAATAATAATAATTATTATTACTAAATAATAATAATTACAAATAAGAAAATTAGGAGTTCCTACGGGACCCCTCTCGCATGATAAATTGTGGATATAACCATTTAAAATGCATGCTGTTTTACTAGAAGAATGTGATCCCTGAGGGTATGATTCAATTTTACTATCTAGTCAGGTATTTCCCATTTAATTTTTATTTTATTAAAAGATCCATTAAATTGTACCCATCAGGTCTTCCCCGATAAGCCTGGGGCCAAGGAAAAGGCTTCGGGGTCGGATACCGGGCCTTCGGGCCGGAATGTGCTAATATGCGGGCCGGGCCCATTCAAGAATTATTCGTTGAAGAATATATTTTTTAGTCCAGGAAAAATCAAACCGTCACACGTGATGAGGCACGTGGGCAGCGTCTCCGGTCGGGCCGGTGGGCGTGCGCCGGACGGCTAAAAAATGCGCTGCAGCTCGGTTTTCGGAGGGTTTTGGTGGCACCGACCCACTCTGCGATCTGCGCCGGCCGCCGCAGGGGCACAGCAGCCCTTGTCTCCGCCGCCAGCTTGATCGTCGCGTTGGCGTCTGCGAAAATTCCGCCCTGTTGCCTTTCCCTCCGACTGGTATGGCGGCGGACGTGGTAATAGATCCGCAACCGGCCAATTCTTGCTGCGCAGAGGTAGGCAGGCAATGTGATGGATACTTTTTCTTGTCATTTTCGTGATTTCGATTCAGGTTGGGTCGTTTTTTGCTTTTTGTGTGATGATTTCGTTTTGGTTGGGCGTTTGCGGGTGCTAACAGCTGAGGAAGAGGTACGTGAAGTTGGAGGAGAAGAGGAACGCCCTCCGGCAGGCTGTGAAGCTGCTCGAGAATCAGACCAACAAGTTGCAGGATGAGACAATTGTTTTGAAAAGAGGTAAGTGCATTTCAAATCTCTGGCGTCCTTATTTTGCAGCGGTCAGTTTTTAGACTCAGGTTCACCCGATCTTAAAGCGAGATGTTGAACAAGACATATCTATGCGGGTTCGTCAGTGTACCAATCGATCACTCAAATGGCCGTATACTGGACTAATGAAGCATTCCAATGGCTTATAGAAACACAGATCGGATTTTGGCTGTTAGGGTTAATATTTTACAATTGGATAATCTATTTTGTTCGTCTTTAATGCAACAACCGTATCTAGCTCCATAAGGACCTCAAAGATGTGACTGAGTAAAGGCGAAGAAAGACATGATAACTAGAGAAAACCATAAATGAGGAGCCAAATCGTCAAACAAGTACCTGTTAGCTTTATAATATCACAAGAAGAAACCAGCCTAGGTTGTGCATTCATTCCTGTCTATTTGAAGATACGTATTCCATTTGGAAAAGCTCTCATGTGCAATGGCCACTCCAGGATGATTTAAAACTTTTTACTCGACCCATAAGTTGGGGTTGCTCGAGTTGGTGGAACCGTTGGATAAATAAATGATTTGATGCCTACCCAATGCCAATTTCAGCGTGCAAAGGTAATCGTACTATCCATCTCCTTTATGAAAAAGCTCTCAGGACAACATTAGCCGTCTGTAGAAATTTTCTTGGATGCTCAGAAGACATTTCCATTGCTTCAATATATTCTTGGATGCTGTTGATCCTTTAGGACTTGCCACAGCTCTGCCTCATGAGTTCCTTTGCTGACTAAAGAACCACCGTGTGTTAGCTAGCACGTGTGATCTCTTGGGCTTTTCCCCCTCCAAATACGAACATTTTACGTACTGGCAGTTGAGAATAATTTCCAATTTACAAACCGATGGTTTTTAAGGTCCTCTGTCCATCTTTTTCTATTTATTTGAGATTACGCTCTTTTGATGTGTAATATTTTCACATTTTCAGTGGTGCATCTGAATTTTTTGATGTTGCTCTCTTTTCCGTTTTTAAATGTCACGGTTAAGGTGCTCACTAAAGTTTGTCTTTGATAACTATTTTCTTCTAGCCTATGAGGAAGAACGCACACGAGCAGAACAAGCCCAGCTATTGAACAAAGAATCACTTGAGATCAAACATAAACTTGACAAAGAGGTTCGTCAATTGAAGTCAGAAATAGCTTCGTTAAAGGAAAGTGGAAGTTCAGTAAACCAAGGTAAAAATCAGCAGCTGATACCCCACATCTCAGAAGGAGATGCAGAAATAAAAAGGCTGAAGGAACTCCTGCAGAAAGAGATAAGAAGGGGAGATTTTGAGAAAAAGAAGGTGGAGGAGGAGAGAAATAAAGCTGCTGAGGCATGGAGACTTCTAAAAATGGAAAAGAAGAAGGTGGAAGACGAAAAGAGAATCTCGGAAATGGAGAGGAAAAAAGCTGAAGATTTCAGGAATTGTTTGGAAGAATCAAGGTCTGAAGTAAACGAAGCCAGAGAAAAATTAATTGCAGAGAAATCAAAAACAGATGCAGCAAAGAAGAAACTCGAGTTTGAGAACAAAAAAACGCAGAGAGAAAAGAAGCGTGCTGATTCAGAGACAGCAAAGGTTGAAGAACAAATGAGGCAATTAGAAATAGAGAGAAAGAAGTTGGTGGATGAAAAGGCTATTTCCGATCACTTATCCAAACAGTTACAAGAAGAGAGGCAAAAGATAGGGATTCTGCAGCAGAAAATGGAAACCATAATATCTACTGGGCAAGGGCTCAAGAATTTTCTGAGCTATGGAACAAAGATGATAAGAAATCAGGATGCTGAAACTGCAAATGTGAAGCTTTTGAAAGATAAAATCAAATTCCAGAAGAAACAGCTGAAGCATGCTAAGAAAATGGCCAAGCTACATGAAGCAGAGGAACATTTACTTCTTCAACAACTTTGTCTATTAAATCAGGATCATATGCAATTCTCGCATAGGTTAGAAATGCTTACCAGCTGCTTTCCATATGTCATTGATGGTACTGATGGTTTGGCTAAGGTATGCTCAGACATTTACCTTGTTCACTGCGTATGCTAGTGATATGTTTTCTTCTTTAGGCGTTCAGTTGTTTTATTTATTGTGATTTTTGAGTAGTGAGTTGGTTTTCTTTATCTACTAAGTTGTTTCGATCCTTGGATTTATGGCCTTTCAAAGGTACTACTTGGCAAGTTTTTACCTTTCATATCCAAGTTCATCCAAATCATGCTGGAAATTTCCAGGTCATAGCAGTGGTAATTTGGTGTAGCACTCATTTCATTTCTAGAACCTCCATAGTTTTGAAATTCTGAATTCTTTTGTTCATAATTGGGAAAGTGATACATTAGCACATTGTTTTCAGAATACATCCAGAGTTTTAATGCCGCTATCTCATATATTTTCTCAGAACATCTTTTAATGTATGCCCTGTTATATGGGTACCACTTTAGTGCTTAGATATCTAATAATTGCGTTGCAAACAAAAATGTCTTTCGAAATTGATGTTGAAAGAAATTCGAAGGTAATTGGATACTTCGTAGCTTGTAATCTATGTATCATTCTATAATTTTATGCCAGAACATTATTAATCGTTTCTCTAAAGTACTATGTACAAAACATTACAGTCGTGACTGTTCAATTCCGTGTCTTTTAATAGTTTGGCGTGCAATGCATTTCTGATAAATTCGCATTGCAGGCTGGTAAAGCTTTAAAGCAACGTGTTGTAAAACCTCAGAAGACATTCTCCTGTGCTGAACATGATGTAAATTCTCAGATTGAGGCTGAGAAAACCAAGAATATTTGCACTCCAATGGAATATCATGGTACATCTCTGCCATGCACATGGCATTTTCCTCAAACATGTGGAGGATCTATCAGACCAGTTTCAGGTATTTGTTCTGATTTGGAATCCCCTGTGCGGGATTCTGTCAGAGACAAGTCGCAAAGTTCTGTGATATGTTCCACTGATGTAACCTTTTCTGATACACAATTCCTGGGATCACAGGGAAGAAGTGCTCTTGCTGTTGCTACATCAGCCAAGTTAGACACAAACTTGCGAGTTTCACCATCTATGAATTTCACTGGGGAAGAAACTAAAAATTCGAATGTGGTACAACGAGGGAAAAAAGGAAGAACTTTTCCCAGAGAGATGAAAGTTCCAATCTCGAAATCCATTTCTCGTGATAGGAATGAACTTGCTATCAGCGACTCCCAATGTATTGGAGCAAAGAGAAAGGCTAAAGACATTTTAGATGGTGGAGATTGCCGTTGGGGTTTAAAAACAAAAAATAAGATTCGTGTGGTGGAGAACAACTTAAACCCTGAAACCATTGTCTCTTCATTATCTAGAGGTGATTTGTTTCACTCTTCAAAAGGTAGAAAGCATCTTGCTACAGAATTGTCTGATGATTCGGATACCAGATATTGTGCTGAGCGACAAAATAATATTTCATGGTCTTCTGAACAGAATGGCGTCTGCCATGAAGGGTATGGATATGAACCAGGTCAGGCAGCGACAAGTTTTATCAATAGAGTTGCACCGGCCGTCTTTGATGCTTCAGAACATGCTCAGAAGTCAAGTGCAACCATCAGGAAAAGCCATGCGTTGTCTTGTTTTGATGACATGAATCATGATGATTATATGAAGCTGCTTGATTTGGATGACGAGATTGAGGAGAAAAGATTTCAAGAAGCAAGGAGGATGCTTTTATCACCCAATCTACCTGAAATCAAGTCTCCCATTTCGAAATATTCTGCAGATGAGTGCCTAAATTGTTCAAGTCAGGCATTTGGTGGTAGCATTGGAACTGAGAAAGAAAGATTTGGGCCAGTAGTTAGATTCAACCCTCACCAAGGATCCACATCTCAGGATCAGTTAGATTCTCGTTCGTTTACTGGAAAGAAAACTTCTGAAAATGCTTCAGGGGAAGTCAACAGGGATTCTGGACTGGTGGCCAGCTCACCACTTGGCCAGTTAATTCTGGATGGGGATACCCATGTGGATTTCTCGACTCAGACACGTGAAGTAGCAAATCAATTAAGTCAAGCATGTGTAGCTAGTCAAATCCCTTGTTTAGGTTTTACAAATTATCTTACTGAAAGTGAAGCAGGAAAAGCCTGCAATCAAGTTGTTGCTGAAGATGCAAACATTGAGGACATCCTTGAAGGGAAAATCACCGCTGATAACGGTTAGTCTGCTTCATATTTTTCGTTCTTTTTAGCCTTGTTTATAATGTATTGAAGATTTTTCATTAGTTAAGACTCTCTCAGCCCTTACTATGTTTTTCATTTGACAAATTGCAGAAGATAGTCTCTCAAGTGACAAAGGCATTCAGATTGATTTTAACAGTGAAAATAGGTCCACCATGTTTGTGGAGAGTATGACGCAAAAGGCTTTGCCAAAAAATAAAGAGATATCATGTCCAAATGCAGTTGATAGACATAAGCATCGTGTTTATGACTGTGTCGTTATTTTCTCAAATACAAAAGATGAACAGATGCTTTGTAGGATACTTCATGCTATGGATACCATTTTGCAAGGTACCTCCTGGGCTTATGAAGATGGATTCTTGTTTACAAATGTTCTTCATGCTTTGACGCGAAATGTGGATATCTCAGCCGAGTAAGTTATCCTTTTTCTCTTCTTCGTTCTATTTTGATTTCATTTATATCATGTGAAATTACAAACTATTATTCTTTTCTAAACCAGGGAGAAGGTTTCTGTTGTCTATTCGTTGTTGCTGTGTAAGATGTCTGCCTTGATTTCTGTGGATGGGGGAATCTCCGTGGTTAAAGATCTATCACTAGCGTCACAGATATTTGTCGCTGAGGCTGATAGAGGTACGCTTAGACGCTTCTCTTCATTCTTATTTTCCTGTTGAATAAAACAATCTGGAACTTGTCATCAGGACGCGGGCTTCTTTGAGTCTGACATTTGACAACAATTTGCAGACCACGCGGATAATTCAAGTTTCCAAACTTTATGTCCTCACTAGTTTCTATCTTTTAGGGCAGTATGGATCGATTAGCTACTCTCTACTGCTGGTTTTTCTTATGCTAAGATAATTCATTGGTGTTTATAAGTATAAGCCCTTGATTCCGACTAAACATCCCGAGCTTTTTATAAACGTTAAAGACTTCTGCTGTTAAAACCAAGACGACAGTGTTAGAATGATCAAGGCTATACACTCTCCAACGAGAATTTTCAATGATGATAGAGACTGTTAGAGACCCTTCATGGCCAATTTGTAAGATCTAGAAGCAAAGAATAAGATGACACTACTGTAGTATATGACTTTATGAAAGCTTTGATTCCGAAGAGTATTCCTGGTCAGTGTTGACACCATCAGGATACTTGTTTGGAGGGCCATAAAGTCCCCTTTTTTGTGGATGGCCGCTCGATGTTCAAGTCAAGGGCAGTGGAACTGGTGAGATAAACGTAAGAGAAATAACAGTATTTGCATGTTCTATCCACTGGAGAGTGTAAGATGGAAAGAATGTGTTGCAGTCTTTACTGATCAAGTTGTAAAATGTCTGCATTCTTTCGCCCATCCAATAAACTTTTTGAGAACATGACAGTTCATAGTTTTCTTCTTATCTGCTGTTGTGGGATTGTCTTGGTTGCTGACTTTTTTTTTACTAATTTATGAATTGATCTTGAAATTTTTCTTATTACTCTTATTCATTTTTCTTATTGCAGTGATATCCGATGCAGATACAAGATCCGTATTTCTCAAAACATGCCAGTTGGACATTTTTTTCAGGCTGATCCAAGATTTCCTTGTTACCAGAAAACTTATGGTGTGCGAAGATTGTTTACTAAAACCATCAGATATCTGCACTCCTGATGGTGTCTGCCATTTTAATGATGGAAACAAGGCCTGGATCTTGAAAACTGCCACAACCTGCCAGTTGGTCGCTGGAAGTGTGGTCTTAGCCTCCATGAGTGTCGTGCTCAGTTGTATTGACATTCTCTGGCATACCTCGTACCAACTTATTCGTCTGTGTATGACTGATTCTCATTGGATTCTTACTGCAGTGCATGTTTTTGCATCTATATCTGGGCCGAAATTCTTTTCTTCTCCGAGCAGCAATTTCATTAGTAGTGTGGTAAAAGTAATCGTTCACCTCCTAGAGAGCGGGTTGGAATTTAGTGCTGTAACACTGAACGCAGACCGGGGCCCAAGGTTTTCCCCTTGTATGGAATGCCCATTTGCTGAAGGTGAAGTCTGTCTGGACAAGGTCACATCTTTGCTGCTGGAAGAGCTCCAAGATTGTGCCGCATGCAGAGCAAAACCTTTGGATCCCAAGACTTCTGACATTTCTTCATCTGATGAACTTGTAGCATGCACAAACAGAACGAACCCACATGACGAAAATAAAGCTCGGCTTGACGGTGCTGCAGAGTGTGATCATGCTTGCTCTTTGCAGAATCTAGCTCACCAGCTGGACAACAATGCCGATACCAAACTTTGTCATTTTACTGATATACTCTCTTTGCTGGAGCTGATTGGGCACTACATGGTGTGCACTTTGACTTGCTATATATCTGTTTCATATAATGCTCAGCCTGGTTATTTTCTCCTGCTTCACTTGCATACATCCATGCGTAGTGGTTTTAGGAATGTATCTGGGGACATTATCCGTTTTCTGAGCGCAGATTATCAATGAAGACTAATTTTTACTCATGATTTCCTGCAATTTATCATACAAGGATGTTAGATTGCTGAGTATTTTATTCATTTAACACACAACTTCTCATCTAAACAAGCTTTTGAAAAACTTTTCCTGTTGAATTATCGTAGATATAAATCAGTAAAGATAACATGAATAGATTAATGGGTCAGTTTTCTTTACCTAGTTTCTTCGATTACAAGTCTTTTCATTACGGTTATTTACCCCACTGCTGGCTTCTAATTGGGGCTTTCATCATTTTCTGTTCTCAGGGGTGGCAGTGGCTGCGCAGGAGAGTCATTCCCCAGCTGTTCAGACTCTCGGAATCATGCACCTCTTTCGAATTCTCTGTCCCTCTTCTCATATTAATTGGGCAGTTCATCAGGTAAAGTCGTGTATAATCGAGACTTTGATGCTTCCATGCAGCTTATCACTCTTGTTTACTTTGCTTTGCGGTGAACTCCTGCTGTGCTGTGAGGCAACATTCAGTTTTCCTCTTGGCAGAGTGAAATATGCTCAAGGAAAGAGGGGGGGGGGGGGTTGTCTTTGGTGGGTAGTAGAAGTGCTGCACTAGTTCCCTTTTCGTACATCATGTCTGATGCCTGGGTCAAGATATCGATTAATACATGGCCTAAACTAGTTGTGTCTTCTGGGATTCTCCACTGCGAATCACCATTCTTGGATTTGATGATACTAACTCAAAATGGTAGGTGCCTCTGCCAGCCGATCGACTGATTATTAGCTGATCCACTATGAATCAGTCTTCTCAGAGGATTTCAGGTTTGATTCGAACACAAAATCAGCTGAACCTGCTATCTTCTTGGTATCGTTCCTCCCATCGTATCATCTGATTATGGGCAGACCCCCACACTAAATCAATATCTTCAGTTGACTCCACTGGATCCCCTCCCAGAAATCATCTGGACCCTCCATCTTCTTGCTATTTCCTGTTCTATGAGCTTCATGGTTATCACCTTTTACGCACTTTCTCAGAATTTTGTTGTTGGCTCCTCTCTCTTCCTTTCTCAGGATTGGCGTGGAGGTCAACGCTTGTGAAGAGGAGGAATCCGAGGGCCTGATGTCCAGTCTATCAGAGTTTCTAGACGGGGATGGAAAAGGGAAAATCGGCAGCCTGCCCATCCAATTCGCCGCCGTCAAGGCTCTGCTCGGCCTCCTCCCTTTGGATTTCCGAGAGATCATCCTCAGCAGGGGCTCGTTTGATGTCGCATTGAGAGGCAGCCATGCTGCCTGTGCAGAGCTCGTAAGGAGATGGTTTTCCCAGCTGGGCGAGGATCAGATTTCTGCGGCCATTGGATTTTTTGAAGAACTCGGTTAGTGAGAGAAACTGAGCTGCATCTGCTTTGAAGGGTAATCTTTTTGTTCTTCTTTCTTAAGCAGTCTCTGAGAAATTGCAGCCCATCTGGGAAATCAGCTTGGTCCGAATTTTCAATGCCGGACATTCAAATTCTATCACACATGAGCTCCTTGTCATGGGCAGCTGCCATTTTTTCCCAGGTTTTCTCTCTCTCTCTCTCTCTCTCTCTCTCTCTCTCTCTCTCTTTCTCCCCTCCCTCTATTTCCTCTTTCTCTCCCTCTCTCTATTCCCAACTGTCTTGTCGTGGTGTGTAGATGACGACGAGGAGGCAATGGCTTTTGGGGAATGGAATGGCTGCAGGGACCATTATGCACCCTCTTTGTTGACTACGACAGATCACCTACCCTCCCATCGTTCGGTAGAACGTCATCTCCAAGAAGATAAACCCGAGTCTTCAACCTTACCAAGATCTCAGAGGACGACAACCGAAAATGGCCTCCTTCATCTTCCTCGTCTTCGTCTTCCTCTTTGATCCCCGTGTAGCAGCGAGAGAAGTGAGCGGCCCCGAGGAGAGCTTTCTCAATTGCTTCCACGATCGCCACCCTGACGCCTCTACCGGCATCGTTCATGCCAGAGGGTCTGAGACCTACAACGCCATCTACCGCTCCAACATACAGAACGTGAGGTTCCTGTACTCTGCCGCAGCGAAGCCCGCCGTCCTCGTGACTCCGGCCAGCGAGTCCCACGTCCAGTCGTCGGTGATATGCGGAAAGACGTCCCGGCTCCGCGTCAGGGTCCGGAGCGGAGGCCATGACTACGAGGGCATGTCGTACGTCTCCGAGGGGGAAGGATTCCTCGTCGTTGACCTGGTGAACCTCCGGTCACTGACCGTCGACATTGCAAAGGGTTCGGCGTGGGTGGGGGCCGGGGCCACTGTGGGAGAGCTGTACTATAGAATTGCGAAGGCCAGCCCGACGGCCGGCTTCCCCGCCGGACTATGCCCCACTGTCGGCGTCGGCGGGCATTTCAGCGGCGGCGGCATTGGCACGATGCTCAGAAAGTACGGCACCGCCGCCGACAACATCATCGACGTCCGACTTGTGGACGCACAGGGACGGCTTCTTGACCGGAGTTCCATGGGGGAAGACCTCTTCTGGGCCGTCAGAGGAGGCGGGGGGGCGAGCTTCGGGGTCATCGTCTCCTACAAGGTGAGGCTGGTCTATGTGCCGCCCACGGTCACCGTGTTCACCGTGGGGAAGAATCTAGAGCAGAACGCCACACAGATCCTGAACCGGTGGCAGCACGTCGCCACCAGGCTGGACGAGAACCTATTCATTAGGGTCATTGCCGAGGCCACAGATGCCCCTCAATCTCCCAGGGGGAGAACGGTGCATCTGCGGTTCAATTCCCTGTTCCTCGGAACCAGAGATGAGCTGCTACCGCTGATGCGGCGGAACTTCCCGGATCTCGGCCTGAAGGCCGAGGACTGCAAAGAGATGACCTGGATTGAGTCGGTCCTCTACTTTGCGGGTCTCTTCGGGCGCCGGCCGGAGGCGCTGTTGGACAGGAGCCCCGAGTTCAATAGCTCCTTCAAGGCCAAGTCGGACTTCGTGAAGGAGCCCATCTCCGAGGCCGGATGGGGGAGCATCTGGCAGTTCCTCATTTCGTCCAGGGGGGAGCCGGCAGTGATTATCATGGACCCCTTCGGCGGGAAGATGGACGAGATCCCCAGGACAGCGATTGCATTTCCCCACCGGCGAGGGAACCTGTTCAATATCCAGTACTTCATGAGGTGGTTCGAGACGGAAGACGTCGTCACCATGGGCCACCTGGACTGGATGAGGAAGCTGTACGCATTTATGGAGCCCTACGTCTCCTCCAACCCTCGAGCTGCCTACGTGAACTACAGGGACGTCGACCTGGGGACGACCGGCGAGGCCTCCACGGTTGCCGCCACCTGGGGCACCCAATACTTCATGAACAACTTTCAGAGACTGGCGGCCGTGAAAAGCAGCGTCGACCACGATAACTTCTTCAGAAACGAGCAGAGCATCCCTCCCCTTGATGAATCGAAATCGGTCATCAAATGTCCATCATCAGATTGGCATTTTTAGCAGCTGCAATGGCTTAATTATTGAGGTTACGAGGTTCCAGCTTCTTCTTCTTCCTCCTCTTCTTCTTCTTCATCTTCAAGTACTATTTGCGAGTAGCTCGATTCGCAATCTGTGGTGGAGAATTTTCGGGAGATCCTTCGAGAGGCTATCCTACCCACCAATAGCCCAGGATGAATATTCATTGCTGTCAAGTGTTGTGCATCTTTCTCCAGAGAAACCGTGTATGCTCCGAGAGATCATCGGCGGCACATTTGACGTCCCATTGAGAGCCGACCAGGCTGCCTCTACAGAGCTTGTAAGGAGATGGATTTCCCTTTTTTTCCCCAGTTCCTCTCCTTCCCTCTCTCTCTCTCTCCCTCTCTCTCTCCTCTCTCTCTCTCCCTCTCTCTCTCTCTCTCTCCCCTCTCTCCCCTCTCTCTCTCCTCTCTCTCTCCTCTCTCTCTCTCCCCCCTCTCTCTCTCCTCTCTCTCTCTCCCCCCTCTCTCTCTCCCCCCTCTCTCTCTCCCCCCTCTCTCTCTCCTCTCTCTCCCCCTCTCTCCCCCTCTCTCTCCCTCTCTCTCTCTCTCTCTCCCTCTCTCTCTCTCCCCCTCTCTCTCCCTCTCTCTCTCCCCCTCTCTCCCTCTCTCTCCCCCCCTCTCTCTCTCTTCTCTCTCCCTAAAATATGGTCATGTACCTGGTACGGAGCAGACCCAAAATGGTTAGCCCACTAAAGGTGCAAATGGCCCACTTATTCCCCAGAAGACTGAAGCGCCCGGCCCATGGGCTGCCCGATGGGCTAAAGCTGCCAAGGCTGGTCGGCGTTCTTCAGGCCCATCAGCTTTGGAATCTTTTATCCTTTCTTAGGTCCCTTTTGTCATCCAGCTAGGGTGGGCCGCTCACCCGAGCAGCCTTCCCTCCCTGGGACGGTAGAGGAACCACCAAGTCAAAGGAAGGAAATTATATTCTACTATTAAAATGCCGGCCGCAGAGGATAACGCCGCTTACACACCCCCAACTCACCACATGCCTTTAAGGGTAGTGGGACCCTTCCATTTATAACAGGGGCAACTCCCCAAACCCTGCCACGCTACGCCCCCTTCCATGAGACGTCTTTTTTATTACCGTCGGACCCTCCATATGCCCCTTTACCACCGCCTAATATCGGTAGCTAAGCTGGGTTTCCCCTTTGTAGCCAGTACACTTCTTGGTTGACTATAAGTGCTGACCTTTGAGTTTAATCTTCTACATCACCGATATGACAGCTCGCCCAAACCGAGTGGTCAACGATCTTACAAGAAGATGAAGGAGAATTGACCGCGGCACGTAGATGACAACGAGGAGTCAAAAGTTATCGAGCAAGGGAATGACTGCAGAGCCACGACAGATCACCGACATCTCAAACCTCTAGGAACATCTCAGAGGGCGATGGCCGCACAAGTCTCACCAAAAATGTCCTCCTCCTTCATCCTCGTCGTCGTTTTCGCCTTCCTCTTCGATCCCTCTGTAGCAGCAAGAGAAGTCAGCAGCCCAGAGGAGAGCTTCCTCAATTGCTTCCACGATCGCCACCCTGACGCCTCTACCGGCATCGTCCATGCCAGAGGCTCTGAGACCTACAACGCCGTCTACCACTCCAACATACAGAACGTGAGGTTCCAGTACTCCGCCGCCGCAAAGCCCGCCGTCCTCGTGACTCCGACCGGCGAGCCCCACGTCCAGTCGTCGGTGATATGCGGAAGGACGGCCCAGCTCCGCGTCAGGGTCCGGAGCGGAGGCCACGACTACGAGGGCATGTCGTACGTCTCCGAGGGGGAAGGATTCCTCGTCGTTGACCTGGTGAACCTCCGGTCATTGACCGTCGACGTCGCAAAGGGTTCGGCGTGGGTGGGGGCCGGAGCCAATGTAGGAGAGCTGTACTATGGAATTGCGAAGGCCAGCCCGACGGCCGGCTTCCCCGCCGGACTATGCCCCACTGTCGGTGTCGGCGGGCTCTTCAGTGGCGGCGGCATTGGCACGATGCTCAGAAAGTACGGCACCGCCGCCGACAACATCATCGACGTCCGACTTGTGGACGCACAGGGACGGCTTCTTGACCGGAGTTCCATGGGGGAAGACCTCTTCTGGGCCGTCAGAGGAGGCGGGGGGGCGAGCTTCGGGGTCATCGTCTCCTACAAGGTGAGGCTGGTCTATGTGCCGCCCACGGTCACCGTGTTCACCGTGGGGAAGAATCTAGAGCAGAACGCCACACAGATCCTGAACCGGTGGCAGCACGTCGCCACCGGGCTGGACGAGAACTTGTTCATCAGGGTCCTCGCCCGGGCCATTGATGCCCCTCAATCTCCCAGGGGGAGAACGGTGCATCTGCGGTTCAATTCCCTGTTCCTCGGAACCAGAGATGAGCTGCTACCGCTGATGCGGCGGAACTTCCCGGATCTCGGCCTGAAGGCCGAGGACTGCAAAGAGATGACCTGGATTGAGTCGACCCTCTACTTTGCGGGTCTCTCCGGCCGCCGGCCGGAGGTGCTGCTGGATAGGAGCCACTGGGTCAAAACCTCCTTCAAGGCCAAGTCGGACTTCGTGAAGGAGCCCATCTCCGAGGCCGGATGGGGGAGCATCTGGCGGTTCCTCATGGCGTCCCGGGGAGAGCCGGTGTTGGTCATCATGGACCCCTTCGGCGGGAAGATGGACGAGATCCCCGAGACAGCGATTGCATTTCCCCACCGGCGAGGGAACCTGTTCAACATCCAGTACTTCATGAGGTGGTCCGAGACGGAAGAGGCCGTCACCAGGGGCCACCTGGACTGGATGAGGAAGCTGTACGCATTTATGGAGCCCTACGTCTCCTCCAACCCCCGAGCCGCGTACGTGAACTACAGGGACGTCGACCTGGGGACGACCGGCGAGGCCTCAAAGGTTGCAGCCACCTGGGGCGCCCGATACTTCAAGAACAACTTTCAGAGGCTGGCGGCCGTGAAAAGCCGCGTCGACCGCGAAAACTTCTTCAGAAACGAGCAGAGCATTCCTCCATCGATGAATTGAAATCAGCCGTCAAAGGTGTGTCAATAAAGAAATGCCCATTATCAGATATGCATTTTTATCAGTTTCCTTATCTTGTAATCTATGGCAGAACACCATAGAACCTTTTTCCCCTATTTTATTGTGATTGGTATTGAAGGAATGGTCAAGCAAGTTACAATTGTATTGAAAGGAAAGGACCTTTCAGTCATTAAATTTCAGGCCCACGGGCCATCAATCCCAATTTCAGAGTATGGGATCATGTAGACTAGAAAATATGGCATGGCTATGGACTACAATGAACCCCTAAATTAGAAGAACTTTTTTATATCTACCTACAATCAGGGATATTCAGCAAACTTACTTCAAACGTATTCTAGAGCTAATGATGAGCCTCAATTATATGAAGTTTAATTGAAAATGATGAATTTGAGGAAAGGAGAAAAACTAGTAAGAGAATATATCAATGAATTTATGACTCTATGATGGGAATTTGACCAATATCAAATGAGTTATTTAAATGATTTAGCTGCAGTGTCAATATGTAGAGATATAATGGACAGGAGAAGAACATATGAGTATTGAATGGGCATCAACTTAGAGTTTGACAAGCAGCATATTCAAAGACTTGACCAAGAATGGGCACCATGGTTAAACAACATAATATTCTTGATTAGAGCAGAAGAAACTTAATCCTAGATTCATCTAGTACCACTAATAACACTATATTTGTAACTAAACGTGCTAATTCAAAAAAAGTAAACCTCAATTTCAGTCAACACATAGTTAAAAAAATCTAAAAAATTGGAATCATGGTAGTATGACTACTTTACAGTATAGTTGTTTCAACAAATCATACCACACTCATGATAGGTATTAAAAACTCTATGATAGGTCTCCACATTACAACTCACAGTTCATAAGTAATGGACATGTTTATATGTTAGTTGAACATTCTCAAGAAATAGTAATAAGTTTTCAAGCTCAACATCTGATCCATACACACCAAGATGAGATTAAGACATCACTAAATATCCCTAGTGACATGCTCTCTAATTTAATCAGGTGAGTTTTTCATTTCAAGTATTATTAATTACCTTAAATACTTATCTTTCTTTAAATTTATTGAATTCTTGAACTATGAACTCAAGAGCCATTGAGCATATGACAAACTGATCCATATTATTTTCAACTTATTTTGCATGCCCTAGCATAGAAAAGATGCCACTACCAAAGGCTCCTTAATTATTTCTACAAGAATAGGAAATATCCATCTCACTCTAATTATCCTACACAATGTTCTTCACATCTCCAAAATGACCCCAACTTTAATTTTTAATTACTAAATTCACATCTGATTCACACTGTTGTATCCTTTGGTGTTCATTTGTGTTCAGCTTATCACAAGATATTAGGAAAGATGATTGGTCATGTTAGGAAACATAACAGACTCTATTTTTTGGGGGCACATATCTGATCCCAAATTGCAAAGAAATTGAGTCAATCCTCTATTGAACCTCATTCATTAAACCTAGATTTGGGGGCTATCATCAAAGGCTTGGACGTCCCTCTTTTGTAATCATTTGGAAAAAAATTATTTGTGTTCCACAAGGTGGATTAGAAAAAAGTTCAGTGTAATGTTTGTGAATTTAAAAACACAAATATGCTCATTTTTCTACAAATAATAAAACAAGGTCTATGCCTTTCTTTCGTATCCATAGTGATGAATGGAGCTCTACCATATTTATTGATGTTCATATTAAAAACATAAATCTGAAATCAGTACCATTCTTCATATATTATTTTTTATGATCAAGATGTAATTTGACACTACTTCAAAAATATTTAGATTTGATAATATTAAATACTAGTTTAATTACAATCTCATTTCAATTTTTCAAATAGAAGAGACAATCTATGTTTCATCGTCTTAATACACCACAACAAATGAGGTTGTAGAAAATAACAACAATCATTTGCTTGTAGCAAAGTGAGTCTTTATCTTTTAA